GGGCTTAATAATGTAGATGTGTATATTATTTGCCCGACATCATATCAATTTTTTATTTTCATGCTTTATCATCATGTCGCCTTTGTTTATCATGTTTGGATTATCACGTTGATTGTATGAACGTTGAATGTTCGCAAGCAAATTCGTGGCACATACTCATTGACATGGATGTGCCTACTGCCTAGGCATTAAAATGAACAAGGTTGCGTGATTGAAACGTTTTCGAAATAGCAAGAATAGGTACCAAGTTCAGGCACTGATAGACTTCAGCACAATCAAGTCTCTGTTCTCGAATCTCTGGTTCACGGAAAGTAAAATGGCCTTCTGTGTTTAACTAAGCTCCTAATCGGCCTCCAATAGGTTAATAGTGACTCCTAAAGAAAAGAGCAATAGTCATCATAATTATGGCCCATTTGGTTCGACTTTGGGGAAATGTCTTTGACAAAATACAAAGGCCTTTGGGCTAAAGTGATTTTCCGAAATGTAAGTAGTGTTTAGTAAAGTGTATTTTAAAAACACATTTGAAAGCAACTTTGACCTAAATACCATTTGGTAAAAACTATATTTTGTAAAGAACTTTTGCTAATATTTTTTTTTTAAAAAAAGTCTCAGCCACCATTGGGCTAAAACAGCCGCCTGCCAGCCTCGCCTGGGGTCATGCAACCAAGGCAACCGTGGCCTGGGCTCAACCTTAGGCAGCATCGCCTGGGATCGCACGACCCTGGCCAACGCTTACCCGGGTCGTGCAATCTAGGCAATGCCTGAGATCGTGCGACCCCTTAGGTGGCGGTCGTCAGCTGCTGGACTTGCTTCTCTGGGTAAATCAGGGAAGATGAACAGTGCAATGAACAGTAAACTTGCATTTCGAAAATGCAATTTGTCAAAGTACCTCCGGACATGCCTTGAGCTAAAGTCCTTTAGAGGCCTTTGGAAATGCAATTGCATTTCTCCAAAATTCTCCAAAAAGTTTGCCAGACACTATTTGCATTTAGCTACCCAAAGTCCCTTACAAATGCTGAACCAAGCTCAATCAACCAACGTCGCAGTTGATAAGGCTTGGGAGAATCCAAGCTAAGGGCAAGCGACAACTCGCAACAGGAATTGTCCGAGCACACTTAAGTAATCCATACACCGTTCGAGGCCATGCGGGTCCTTCAAAGCACATGACCAAACTGCCATCAGAAGGGCACGTCATGCATGACATGCTAGAATTGACTACACTATGACAAGATGTCAAAATCATACTAGAGAAAGCTCGGAGCAGGGCTGACGATCTACAAGCATGCATGTAATTCTTATCCGCTACACGAACATTGAGTGAAATTCCATCCATAAAATGACTGATATGATCTTCAAATTTATTTTATTAAAGAGTCATTATAATTCACGTTGAAGAGCTATCCGAATTTGCAAATATTTCACTCGAATGCACTCGTTATTGACCTAAATTTATACTAAACTCAATATGTTGTATCATATTCTTTTGCGGACTATTATATCAAGGTATTTCCATTAAAGTAAAATTTTGTAATAAGCTTACTTAGTCATAATAATTTACTTTTGCGCCATAAAACTGCGATTTATGACAGCTTTCTAGAAAGAATAAGCAACCACCACTATTAGTAATTATATTAGTAATAGCAACATATGTCTCGTTCATGTTGCACCTAATCCATGACCGAATCGGGCGGACTTGGAGCGGAGACTTGCAGCCTCTCAAACATCGCGGCGACTAAAAAGTTTCGTCAATGTTCTCTTTCCCTCTGTATTTCACCACAGAAAAGCGTTCCTGCGTTCAGATTACCGAGCTTCAATGGCAGAGGAAGTGATACTGTTGGACTTCTGGCCGAGCTCGTTCGGGATGAGGGCAAAGATTTCCCTGAGAGAGAAGGGCGTGGAGTTTGATATGAGGGAGGAGGACTTCTGAGCAACAAGAGCCCCCTGCTCTTGCAGATGAACCCGATCCACAAGAAAATCCCCGTCGTCATCCACAATGGCAAGCCGATCTGCGAGTCCCTCATCATTGTCCAGTACATCAACGAGACCTGGGGTCCTGAGTCCCCTCTCTTGCCTTCCAATCCCCACGAGCGTGCCCATGCCAGGTTTTGGGCCGACTACGTGGACAAGAAGGTAAGACAAACAGCACCCAATCTTGATCATTTCCTTGTTAAGTGCGCTTGACATCAAGACGCGACACAACATGACGGCACAGATATTTCCAGCGGGGCAAATGGCGTGGCGGTCAACGGGGGAGACCCAGGAGGCGGCGAAGAAGGAGTACATCGAGGGCTTGAAGGTGTTGGAGAGAGAGCTTGGGGACAAGGCGTACTTTGGAGGCGAGGGGTTTGAGTACTTGGATGTGTCGCTAATACCGTTCTATAGCTGGTTCTATGCTGTGGAGACACTGGCCAATTGTAGCATCGGGGAGGAGTGCCCCAAGCTGGTGGGATGGGGCGAGCGGTGCATGCAAAGCGAGAGCGTGGCCAAGTCGTTGCTCGACCAGCACAAGGTCTATGACTTCATGTTGGAGCTCAGGAAGAAGCTTCAGGCGCAGTGAACAACTCCTAAGTCTCATAATAATAGTCATCTCATGAATTGAACCGGTCAGCTCTTGGGTAGAATCCATTTCAATGTCGGTTCTCGATAGATACGGTTTTGAACCAATTCAAAATCAAATCCTACGGATCTTTAAATTGAGAACTTTTGCAAAAAATAATTGAATTGAACATTATACCATTCACTCCACAAATTAATTCCACTCAACTTATTAAGCCGCCTTCCATCTAAAAATAGGAAAAATTGTCCAAAAAGTCTTAAACCTATTGCACTTTTGTCAATTCAGTCATAAACATTTTAATTTTGCTAATTGAGTCCTAAACATTTTCACATTTTGCCAATTGAATCCATTCGACAAATTTTGGCCAAAAATTTATAACGTAGATGCCAGCCGTACATGGCACGGTAGACGATGATGCGGACAATTTTTAATAATATACAATATGTTTTCAATTTTTTATTATTTTTCCTTTTTTTTCCTTTTCTCTTCTTTTCTTCTTCTTCTTTCTTTTTTCCTTTTTTCCTTTTTTCCTCCACTGGCCACCACCAGGCTCGTTGATGGCTGGCGAAGGTCACTGGCCTGAGACGAGTGCCACCTTTGATTGGCCTCAAGCAAGGGATGCCGGGGGCAGGACAGGTGAGGGTTGCCCTCGCCGGAGGCTAGCAAAGAGAGAAAGGGAAAAAGAGAAAAGAAAAAGGAAATTTAAAAAAAAAAAAAGATGATAAAAGGAAAAAAGAAAAGAGAAGAAAAGAAAAGAAAGGAAAATAAATAAATAAACAATTCAAAAAATATTATTAAAAATTATTCACGTCAGCACTAGCGGTGTCATGTAGGATGGTCGATGTCCACGTAAGCGATTTCCGATCAAAATTAGCTGGAGGACTCAATTGGCAAAATTGAAATATTTATTACTAAATTAACAAATAAAGCTATGGATTTAGGACTTTTTGAACAATTTCCCACTAAAAATATGACACGGTTCCTCATTTCTCTTTGTGCGTGCAGCATAATTAAAACACATGCAAGGATTACTCAAGAGAAATGAATGTCAATTGGACTCCATCACATGGACGTCCTCTATGTGGAAATTTAAAGATAACTCATATTACTTTGAGGGAAAATTGTATAAAAAGTCGTAAACCTACTACACTTTTTTTTCAATTCAGTCATAAACCTTTCAATTTTTGCCAGTTGAGTCCTAAACATTTTCATATTTTGCCAATCGAGTCTATCTGACTAATTTTAATCGGAAATTGCTGACGTGGATGCCGGTGGTATCACGTAGGACAGCTGATGCTGACGTGGACAATATTTTTATACTTTCTTTTCTTTTTTCTTTTTCTTTCTTTCTTTCTTTTCTTTTCTCTTCTGTTTTTTTCTATCAAGACCGGCAAGGGTCGGCCTTGCTGGTCATAGGCGAGGCCCGGCCAACCCTCGCCAGCCACGAGCGTCGCGGCCCCTCACCCAAACCTCGTGAGGGCCAATCGATCCGATTTACCCAAAAATGATTCGAATCAAGATATTAAGAATTCCACGCATGAAAAGACAAATATCAATCAAGACAAGAGACATTAAAGACATTGCCATTATAAATTTATAATGACGAGAGATGGGTGAATCGACTGATCATGCCTACATCTTATTCCACCGCGACTTACCTCGTGCTTTCGAGGAATGTTACGAGTCTCTCAAAGCACAGATTTCCAACAAAATAACAAAAGATTGTCTGTAGGCTCACGTCGACAAACTCGAAGGACAAAACCGTGGGAGAACAACTATCCCACGTTTGGTTTTCCGGACCATTGTATTCAAGTTTTCATCTCCGCACATTATCGGGCTCGTTCGTTGATAGCAGCCAGGGCCGATTCGGGCTTTGAGCGACTCGGCTTTCCAACACCCCCGCATATTAGGAGCGGTCGGTTACAGAGCAAGTAGATTTTAGGTTCTAAACATCGAACTTATCATGTCAGAGTCAGGTCTATTGACCTTAGAATCGACCAGGGCTTTTTTTTATCTTCATTTTTTTGTATTTTATTTTATTGTATATCAGATATGGAATACAATTTATTTTTCTTGAGGTATTCAATTTCAATAAACATTATCTATTTTTAAAAAGAGTAAAAAAACTTACTCAATATTGAGATAAATCGGTTCAATTCTAGATTCTATTCTAGAATTGGCCTTGCAGGTTCGATATTACTAAGTGAAAGTTTAGGGTATAAAACTTGGAACTAAATCGGTCCTAGGCCAATTCCATGTTTCTGGAACGGGCAACCGGACCGGTCCGCGTGTGAGCCGGCCGGGTAAGGCCGTTCGGACCGATTCCCGGGTCGAGCCAGCCCGGTCGTTAACCCCTATAACAAGCAACAATTGGGGGTCGCTATGCAATTACGCAAAAGGTTGGGGGCGCTTTCAGAAAGTCTAAACTCGAACTTGCACTCTCTTCGTGGACTCCATCGCCATTCCCCTCGTCGCCTGCTCTTCAGATCCTTCCCTCCGCTCCTTTCATGCCGATCCTGCGCATCGCATCGCAGCGACCCTAGGGCTTTTACGCTCGCGATTATACGTATTTGCTCCGACGTACGCCGAGCAGCTTCGTCGCGCTTCCTTGCGAGGCGCCAGAGATTTCCTCCTCTTCTGTGCGTTGTTTTTTTCGAGGCGTCTTGATTCTGTTTCAGTGATTCGAAGAGGGAGAGCATATGAAATTCTTGGAGATCAGGACCATTTTCGTCTTCTGGCTCGTTTTCGCCGGATTGGGTTTCGCCAATGGGGAGGATGCCAAGAAGAACAAGTTTCGGGAGCGGGAGGCTACGGACGATGCGCTCGGCTACCCCAATCTGTAAGTTCTGCGTATTGATGGGTTCCCTGTTAATCGCGACGATATTGAGATTTTCTTTGGTGGGTTTGAGTAGAATTTGAAATTTGGCGTTGAGGGTCGGAGAGGTTTGTGCTCGTGTGGTTTTTGGAGTGATATACGTTTCTTCTGTGGGTGTAGAGATGAAAATGCGCTGCTGAATACGCAGTGCCCTAGGAATTTGGAGCTGAGATGGCAGACGGAGGTTAGCTCTAGCATATATGCCACCCCTTTGATCGCTGATATCAACAGGTAAAGCATGTAGCCCAAGTTGGATGTATAATTCGATGGCTTAAGCTCCCTGCTTTTCTTTGCTGTTATTTTACTTGTCCGGAAGCAAGCTTTTGGGTATTTGGTTTTGGCAATGTTTCTCGAGAAATTGTTTTTCCACCTTGTTGAAACTTGGGATTTAATTTTATTTTGGAGCACTTCCTGATGGTAGACACCAGTTGTGTAAGGCCCTCATGAGATTTTCTTCTGACCTTGTCACTTTATATTTCCTGGTTTTATGTAATGTCTAACTTGCCAACTCTCCCTGTCTCTCAGTGATGGGAAGTTGGATATAGTGGTACCTTCTTTTGTTCACTACCTTGAAGTTTTAGAAGGCACTGATGGAGACAAGATGCCAGGTGAGCTTTCTTTTCACTAAAGCAATTTAGCTGTATGTATTGTTCCAGAAGATATACTATGGTTTTCAACACTTACTTATGAACTAGACACGAAGGAGCACCTGTCTTCATTTTGGGACTGTTGTATCGTTGTGTTGAGCTGGTTAAATTATTAAGCTATAAGAGAAAGCTACGTTTTTTCGGATCAAGGGCCTTTTACCTGGTCGCTAAATATTGTCATCAGGATGGCCTGCTTTCCACCAGTCAACCGTGCATGCAAGTCCTCTCCTCTACGACATTGACAAGGATGGTGTGAGAGAGATAGCATTGGCCACCTACAATGGTGAAGTGCTGTTTTTCAGGTGATTCTCCTGGTTTCATTTGCTAAAGTCCATTTCACTTTGGCAATGTGTTTCAATGAGAATTTTGCCCTCTTCCAAACTTCCAATTACACATGTTGTATTGTTTTCAGGGTATCAGGTTACATGATGGCAGATAAGTTAGAGATACCTCGCAGGAAAGTACGTAAAGATTGGTATGTTGGTTTAGATTCAGATCCAGTGGACCGTTCTCATCCAGATGTGCATGATGAGCAGCTTATCCAGGAAGCTAGGGAGTCAAAATTATTTTCTCGTAAGTTTCTAATGTATTCTAGTTTATTCACTGTTGTTTGTTTTTAGATATGCAGAACTAGGTGTGTAATCTTTTCTTATTATTACTACAAAATCTTCTGAGGAAAACTTGACCAACCCTAGAGTGTCTGAGTATTGATATTGAAATATTTGCCACAGTCCATTACCTATTGATGTTAATCGGAAGTTCTCTTTTGGTGATTCTAGAAAACAATGGGAGCACAACTAGATCTAGTCCATCAGTTCCCTCAACATCGGAGAGTAACCTTGGCACGGTGAATGCGACCAAGCCAGACAATGAATTGAAATTGAATGAAACTCAAGCAGAGACAAACATTAAGCTGCCTACAAGCATGGATAACTCCACTAGCACCGATAACTCAACTAGCACAACAGGATCAACTCAGGCTTCTGATTCAGCTCATGGAACAAATTCTGCCAGACGGCTTTTGGAAGACATTAACTCTAAGGGATCTCAGGAAGCTGCTTCTGAATCCACTGTTAATAACAACAAGGATACTCAAGCTGCAACTGTCGAGAATGAAGAAGGTCTAGAAGCTGACGCCGACTCGTCATTTGACCTGTTTCGTGATAGTGATGAGCTTCCTGATGAGTATAGTTACGACTATGATGATTATGTTGATGAAACTATGTGGGGAGATGAGGAATGGACTGAAGCGCAACATGAGAAATTGGAAGACTATGTAAACATTGATGCGCACATTTTATGCACTCCGGTAAGGGAAGACATTGAGGGTGACTTGTTAATTCTCTGCTGAAATACAAAAAAGTTATGGAAAAACTTGGGGGTATCATTGATCTATAGAAGAATGTGATATCATTTTGAACAAATAAAAATTTATGTGGGTTTTTTTTTTTGTCATATTGATCAGGTCATAGCAGACATTGATAACGATGGGGTGTCAGAGATGGTCGTCGCTGTCTCATACTTTTTTGATCATGAGTGAGTCCCTTAGACTTATGATGCCTTTTATGTTTTCGGGCTTTATCAATTATATTGGCTTCTTTTGTGTTTTAGAGAAGTAAGTATATGGTTTTGTGTTAACAGCATACTTTAGGCTTCAATGAAAGAACTAGTGACTGGTGCTGGTGATTTCTTTTAAACCTTGTAAATGTCTATAATTTTGAACTTACGAATTTTGAATCTTTGTTCTGTTATTCCTATTTATACTTGATTGTTAAAAAGTTATTTCTAATGTCAAGCATTTCAGTTTCATTTGTCTATCTCATACTTTTCACTTTTCAGTCTTGTTAACACGATTTCCTTGCCCAGAATGATTGCCTCTTTTTTTTACTGTGTATTTTTACTACTTGTATGAAATGAAAGTCCGTCTCAGTTAAGTCTTCTCATAGTTTTACTTCGTTACATGAAGCGTACGAAATGTATTGAAGAAATGCTTAATGGAGTATTGAAATCTTCTAGTTTTACATTAATGTAGATGCAGTCCTCATCTATAGACAGCAATGTAAATTCACAGGTACTATGACAACCAGGAGCATTTAAAGGACCTGGGTAATATCAGTATTGGGAAATATGTGGCTGGTGGGATCGTTGTTTTTAATCTTGATACAAAGCAAGTTAAATGGACAACACCACTAGATCTTAGCACAGACAGTGGGAACTTTCGTGCCTACATATATTCTTCTCCTACGGTTGTTGATTTGGATGGTGATGGAAATTTGGACATCCTGGTCGGGACTTCCTTTGGCCTCTTCTATGTATTGGACCATCAAGGTGATCTTCTTTGACTGCATAACTATTTTGCACTAAGTTTTTAGAGGATGCATTTAGGACTTGATGAAATCTTCAAATCATATGTATTTATACTCTTGTATCCAAGGGTTCTTACTTTTGTTTCACCAGTTTTCTGTCTCTTATTGGCATGGTACACACACACACACACACACAACTGACTCTACTGCAGTTCTATAAGGTAGTGATTCATCTCTTTTTGAAGCAATGAAATATACAACCAATGTGTGAAACAGTGAAGCCATCATGTTTAGGTTAATTTGTCCATCCACCCCTAAAGATGGTTTTGAAATTCAGCCAGCTTGTCTATCTTGTCACCATTCACCAAATGACCGTGAATACAATGATTTTTAGGTAAAATCAGAGAAAAATTTCCCCTTGAGATGGCTGAAATTCAAGGAGCGGTAGTTGCAGCAGATATCAATGATGATGGTAAAATTGAACTTGTCACTACGGATACTCATGGAAATGTTGCTGCCTGGACTGCACAAGGAGTAGAGATTTGGGAAAAACATCTTAAGAGCCATATTCCTCAGGTAAAATGTCAAAAACATCTTAACATCTATTTATATGCCTAGCTGTTTCATATTAGAGAGCAATTTCAACTGGTACGAAGTATGGCATGATATTATTGAAGAATGAGCTGGAGTTACTTTGATGAGATACCTATGCAACATTTACATTTGCAAGCTTGGTGGAGGCACACATGGGAATTATCTTTCTCTTCAGGCTAGATTCAGATACTTGAACATGTACGGGCGTGATAAGGATGGAGCTCAGCGACTGTTAAATGCTCTTATGTATGAAAAAGTTGAACAGCTAACAAACAACTTATCTTCCTCCAGGATTATAGAACTTCAGGCTAAGAATCTCGCGTTTGGTGCATTGCTAATGCTGATCTAGGTCAAGGGGGTGATCCTTAGAGTATTGTTGTGTCTATGGCTTTTCTTGGCAATGATGTCAGGTGGCATGTGTCTTCATGGGTCTTGTTGACATACATGTACTTTGCATTAAACCACTATCTACCATCTGTGCATTTACTTGGGACATGTTGTGTATTATTGTAAGTACTGTAATCTTCTGATTTATGTCCATTGATCTGGTGTTTATCAACTTTTTGGAATGAAAATCGTTCTTCATGAGGCAAAGTTTGTGACCAATTGATTGGTTTTGATTTTTGCATATGAAAATGTAACATACCAATACTTATTTTGACAAGAAGTTAAGAATATAAAGGCAAAGGATTTGAAAAAACTTTTTGCTAGCAAGTAGCAACCTATGAGGGAGAGAAAAGAACGGAGGTGCGGCTGTTCACCATAGCAAGGCACTAGAGACCGTAATGAGAATTCTTCATTACGCTCAAGGCCAGTTTTCATTATGTGTGGTTGTCATCCTTTAAGAACCCACCAGATTCCTGGTATTTTATGTATGTTTTAAAGTCTGAATTTATGGCCTTGTAGTAAGGTGCAAAGGCCAGGCCACTATATGTTATTAATTTTTATTTGATCTTGAATTACTTGATGGACAAGTAACTAAGTATGCTGTTAATATCCAGGGTCCAACCATAGGTGATGTTGATGGCGATGGGCACACTGATGTTGTTGTTCCTACAATATCAGGGAACGTTTATGTTCTTAGCGGCAAGGATGGTTCATTTGTCCGTCCATATCCTTATAGGACTCATGGAAGAATTATGAATCAAGTTCTCCTTGTTGATCTAAATAAACGCAAAGAGAAGGAGAAGAAGGGACTTACTCTCGTTACTACATCATTTGATGGTTATCTATATCTTATTGATGGGCCCACCTCATGCGCTGATGTAGTTGACATTGGTGAAATTTCGTAAGACATTTTAACATCTTTTGGTGCCATATACCTCATTCTTTCCAGTCTTCAAAGCTTATCTTAGTGCAAAATTTTGGACAGATATAGCATGGCATTAGCAGATAATGTCGATGGTGGCGATGATTTGGATCTCATTGTGACAACTATGAATGGCAATGTCTTTTGCTTCTCGACTCCCGCTCCTCATCATCCATTGAAGGCAGGATAAACATGGACTTGACTTATAATTTTGTGCTTCAGTCCGCCTTTCTATCTTACAATATACATTTTATCCAGGCATGGAGATCAGCAAATCAAGGAAGAAACAATGTTGCCAATCGGTATGACCGTGAAGGAGTCTATGTCTCACATTCCTCAAGAACTTTCCGTGATGAGGAAGGCAAGAGCTTCTGGGTGGAGCTTGAAATTGTCGATAAACATAGATATCCATCTGGTTATCAAGCACCTTACAATGTCACGGTACGCTCTTCCTAAGATCAAATGGCATTTTCCAAAAGCCAGGAGTGCTTCGATGTCATTTTGCTTTTGTTGTTTTGCAAAAACAATGCAGACGACCTTGTTGGTTCCTGGCAATTACCAAGGAGAGCGAAGGATAAGGCAAAACCAGACCTATGATCGCCCTGGAAAATATCGAATAAAGCTACCAACTGTTGGAGTGAGGACAACCGGAACTGTCTTGGTGGAGATGGTTGACAAGAATGGACTTTACTTCTCAGATGAGTTCTCTCTTACATTTCATATGTACTACTACAAGCTGCTAAAGTGGCTTCTTGTCCTGCCTATGCTCGCCATGTTTGGTATACTTGTCATCCTTCGTCCTCAGGAAGCCATGCCACTTCCATCGTTTTCAAGAAACACCGACTTGTGATAAAATACCCTTTCATCAAATTTCAACCCAGTGCGAAGGCAGATTGTATACTTGGGAAGGAAGTCTGGTTAAATCGATGTTACGGTAGTATCAATTTTCTCCAGCGAGCTCTGACAATACATTGAAACAGATACTGATTCTGTCTAAATAGATTTATAGTGTTTTGGAAATAGGCGACACAGAATCAAAAGCTGTAACATGGGAGATCTGAAGTTTTGGATGGTTAGTTCAAAATTATTTTTTCTTTAAATGTAGCTAATAACTTCTACTATTGTCGCTCGTTTGTTATCTGAGTGATTATTTGCTTGCGGCAGAAAGGATTCAGAGAGACTTGCCCTGTGGCTGAGATGGCCATAAGGTAATGGCAATAGCGAACATCGTGCAAGCTTCCCTGATTTAACTGATGCAGTTATTGAATGCTTTGTGGGACTCTTTATCAAGCATGCAAAAGCTATACCATCTTACCACAGTGAATTGAGAAGCTTTATGACATTCGTCTAAAAACGTGTTCAAGTTCAACTTAGATTTATAGTTACAACTAAGCATGACGTATATTACAGTTTAGCATCTTGCAGCTGGGCGAACATGCCAATAAATCTACTTCGTATATGACTCTGAACTGGCTTGATAACTATATTTGATGTCTTAATGAATTATTGCTGAGGAAAGAAAGAGGCACAATATAAATTATCGCGCAAACGTGGATTACAGTTACACGAGAAAAAGAACATAACTCGAAATTAACAAGAAAAATATAAACTCGGCTACATGAATGGATTGACTGCGAAATATAAAGAGAAATGTTACGGGCTTTAAAGAAAAAGTAAGCATGTGCTTGATCAGATTTGACTATGTCGGATGGGTAGGTGAGGCATGAAACTTCCATTCCAAATAGTTCTATCACCTTAACGATTATCATCTTCATCGCGCTGCAGAGTTTGCACACGAAGCTACCGCAAGGAGATGACATCAGCCTTCGCTTCTAGTCGCTATCGAAGTGTTTCTGATTTGTCCTAGTCTCGTGGAGATGCGATTTCTTGCCGAGCTGCTTTGACGGGTAGGACTAGGATCACTAGGATCTGAAATATCAATGTCTGACATGTACTTTGTCGACCCGGTTCTTTTCCAGATCAATTAAGCTATGCAGCTAATTCTAAACTTATCAGCAATAACAGCTCCAGCAAGTACATATTACATGTGCACGAAACTCCATGCGCAGCAATTGCATCCAACCAGGGAACTAAAGAAGAGGAGAGCATCATCACTCGGAAAGGTTAAAGACCATGAAAGATCAATGAACTTCATCCATCACCGGTGCAACTTATTCCAATTCAAAGTCATTTTCACCCACCAATACCAGGAAAGGCTTTATATTAATGCTAATGCCAGAGCACTGAACTCTGAACATTATCCTGTTCAAACCAGGTCTAGACAGTACGATCAATATCTTTTCAGAATTTGAGAAACTCGTGGTGCTGCCATGAGCTACCTTCAGAGTCCTCATTCCTCACCATCCATTGGAGGCAGGACTAACGTGGACCAGATTTATGAATTTGTGTTTTATCCCAGCTGTCTATCTTAAGATTTGCATTTCTTCTGCATGGAGATCGCGCGATCAAGGAAGAAACAATGTTGCCAATCGTATGACAGTGAAGGAGTCTTGCATTCGTTGAGAACTTTCTGCGATCAGGAGGGCAAGGGCTTATATGGTGGTGGCACTAGCAGCCCATGTAAGCTATAGCACCTTACAACAGCATATCAGAAGCCGTGTGACATTCTTCAGAAAACGTCTTCTAGTCCAACTAACACTGATACTACAGCTAAAGCACGACCCATTACAGTTTCCTGCCTTGCTCTGAACGAACATCTCGATTTATCTGCTTCGTACATCTGACGTCTCTAACAGGCTCGCTCGTTGAATTTTGATGTCTTAGGTAAATATTGCTGATGAAAGAAAAGGGCAAGGAAACAAATTACCACACTAAATGGTTGCCGCGAGACTAAACGAATTCAATCGGTTGGCATTTCTCATTTTTGAATTTGAGGTTTTCAATCATTTTCTAACCCCTAAATTGGTAGCTTGGCATGCGTATTAGAAGTTACAGGACCATTGCCAGAAGCCCAACTGAGGAAACTGGTGCATTGTTTGGATATGTTTGTAGATACCGTTCTGTCCTCAAAACATCAAAATGTTGTTACCAAACAATATGCTCGAAAGAGATCGTTTGCAAGTTCTTTCGCTTGCTCCTTAAAAGAAAAGACATCCTTCCAGCTATCCCAGCCTCTTCAAAAAGCAAAGTACTAAAGTCCCTGTATTCCGAATTTAGCGCAATGACTGTGTAGGTTCAGATTTACTTCCTAGTATCTATTTAAAAAAATAGTAACTCTTTGAAGGCTCTGGAGAAAACTAAGAATGGGAATGTCCACTGTAAAATGCACAATACTCAACCACAATACTATCAAACCACAAAAATGGAAGAAAAGGTTCCTCTTATTGCTAGAAACAACTGATCTATGGAAAGACATGGTATCATCTGTTTGTGTATCAGCATCATGTCTCAAAGCTGGCAAAAACTTCCTGCTTGCCTCTGTCGTTTGTGGCACACTCCCTCTGTTCTTTTATTCAAAAGACGAAGAGCCGATATATCGTCCACGAGGTTTGCAAAGTAGAGAACCAAGAATCCATGGCATACCAAGTGAAGAATCCAAAGACTTGTGGGCATTACAATGCTGACATGAGCTGTTACTTATTCTTGGGAAGTTCCGGTTTTTGCTTCACTTATCCTCGAAAAGGTTATCTCCTGCCACAACTTTTCAACTTTCCATGGGACATAGTCTTGTAAATTAGCTTTCACGTATATGTAAACAGAAATCCAAGCCATTCCTGATGAAAAATATGTGAGGTTCGGAAAAAAAGCACATGCATCCCAGAAACATATAGTACACACACAAAAGCCCCACTGTGGTTTAGACAGACAGTTGTGATAAAAAAAAAAATGCAAACAGTTACAGGATTCATATTGGCTCACAATCTAAGTGCTATTCTAAATTGGTCATCTCTCTCTAACCAGCATCATGGATCCTTGAAATGGTACCATGCTTCTGAAGGTCCACCTCTCCACAAAGTCTCATTTAATCAATCTAGGAGGGAACAATGAACATATTTTGTTTCTCTTTTGGCCAAATATATAGCTTGCTGGTGTCTGCCTTGGCATGCCAACAGCAAACCCTGACTCAAATTTCCTAGCAAGGCAAATGATCAAATAAACAAGCTAAATGCCTCATTTTTACATTTTTTTATCTCTCTCCAGTAGGCCAAAATAAAAGGAAACGACCAAAATAAGCATCACTGGAAATGGTAACATTTCCAGGCAACAACGCGGCAGATACTTTATTTCAATGACTCTTCACCTTTAAATTCCTCTATTTCTGAAAGAAAAAGTTACAAACAAGAGGAGATTTATCCAGCAGGGAAAGGTTGAAAAATGGAAAACCACAAGTTCTATTAACTAACATCGAATAATATATGAACTCTTTAAAGTCCTTCAACCTTCAATTTTGTAGTGGAACACAAGGCAAATTCGGTACTTTCTTGATTAAGCAACACTGTCAGGTGGAAAAAAAAACAGAGTCAGGTGGCATGTAGCCATTTCGATTTTTTATAAGAATAAGGCAGAGACAAAATGTCCTGAACTAGGTCATTTTTTATTCTTGTACAAACCGAATCAAGGAGTTTAAGTACATCAGGTGTAATTCATGTAGTAAACATCGGGGGTATCCAAGTCCAAAGGTGGGTAGGGTATTGTCATTTGTGATACTCACTCTAAACAAAGTTTTGGAACTTGAAATCTATCCCATTGCCTCTTGAAAGCACCGCAGACCTGGTGGAGGGAGGAAAACCCAACTAGGACCTATCAGTTTGCCCTTTTTCTCAATTTTTTCGTTAATTTAACAAAGTCTGGGTACATTTACAGAAAATAACACTTACAATATTAAGCAAAATATATATATTTCTGTTAACAAGAACATTATCACAACATATATACAGCACAGGATCACCATACTAATGTGTTTTTCGCTTCATGCGACATAAGTTTACATGAAAGCTTCTGATATTGAACGAAGCATAGCCCTTCTGAAAGGAGCGACGTGATCACAAGTAGAGAATAATACTCATGCTTGCATACCCATTAAACACTTATACATCATAAAAATAAGTTCTTTTCCTTTTCTCAGGGTACCTAGTGCATGTACGCCACAAAAGGTAGCAGGTATTAGTTAAGGGAAAATATGAACCTCACCCAAAACCGACACTATGCTCACAAATTCCATCATTTGATCTAACTTACCTAGTGTCCTCTAATATCGACCCTAGAGATTGAGTTATCTCTGTTTCAGCTTCAATAAGATTGTTCTTTTTCCTTTATTCTCTACGAATAGGTCTATTCCACTGCATCAATAATACTCATAAAATGCATATGCGTTTGTTTATATGGTATATATATTTTTCCAGGGTACCTAGTGCAGGATGTAGTAGGCACAGGTTGCCGGATGGATATGAACCCGTAAACCCAAAACCAAATCTATGCTCACAGGTTCCATCTTTTGGATCCTGAATTTTTCTTGTGCACTCTTTACATGCAACCTAGATCCCCAATCACACTGGTTCCACCAATTCGATAGGTTCCTTAGGTTCTCCTACACATTCCTGGTAAAGAGAAAAAAACCATGGGTATCAACTCCGGTTGATCGCAACCTATAAAATGATTCCAGCACTTGCATCCCACTCTTATGCTGGCAAAGCTTACCCGGACACTAACATTGCACACACAAATCCTTTGCATCGAGAGAATTCAACATTTTAGATTAATTGCACTTCCTTGCAATCATCAAAAACCGCACCAATGTGCTCTTGCTCTGGTGCGTTCAAAGAGGGAGAATTTTGTCAGAGTACAACAGTGACTTCACAGTTGCAAAGATTACCAACGAACAAGGATGACCAAATTATTGGGTAAGATTATCCAATCAATATGAAATCTCACTTTAAAAGTCTGACCACAAGCAGACAAAAAATGTCATAATCCGGCAAAAGCTGCAAATTTAAACAGGGCAATCACCATGCCACAAATCTGGACTGCAAATATATTGCAACGTCCGACTACACGACCCACACCAGATTCTCCACATCAATAGCAAGAGAAATTGCAGATTTCTCATTAGACTATCAAATCGAATAATCACACTCTCAGCCAATTCACACAGATCTAACACTCACATAAGAAGTCAGAACTCCTCCATTATTAGGCTCAAATGACTGTAATCTGTAAAACTCTTACAAGAAACTATGGTACAGTGTATACGTATATATATGCACAAATCAAGAGAAAGGGTCTCAAGGAGCATGAAGAAAACCTGAATCTACAACACCACCAACACACGCGTATATATTATATCACTGAAAAAAAAGTAAAGGGAAAGACAAAATTCTTACATCCCCCAAATTCAGAAGCCATTCAAGATGGGTCTCTTCCCGAGCCGCTTTATCTCCCTGTCCATCTTCCCGGTCAGCATCAGGCCGAACATCTTGTAATCGCAGAGGAGCGACCAGAGCGGGTGCCCGAACGTCGCGGGCACGTTGCCCTCCACGAACAGGTGGCTGTACCAGGCGAGGCCGTAGCCCACGACGGGCACGAGGAAGAGGGCCCACCAGTTGAACGCCGCCGCGTAGACCAAGAGCACGGCGCTGAGGAGGGTGCCCGCGAAGTGCCAGCGCCGCGTGGCCGGCTTCGAGTGCTGGCTCACGTAGAAGGGCCAGAACTCGTCGAAGCTCCTGAAATTCATCCTCCTCGATGCGAGAAACGCCGACCCAATTCGCAAGAAGATCTTCCGGGGCTTGAGGTTTTCGGCTCGCGGGGGGGTGGTGGTGGTGGGCTACAGGCCACGGCTGATCTCTCTGCGTTCGGACGATGATGATCCTGGCATCACATGCCGGGGAGGGCGCGATTTATACGGTGTCGGGTCGGATTTGGTACGATGATTGCTCGCTCGTTCGTGGGGTGGCAGAGGTGGGTGTGTGGAAGCAATCGATTGGGGTGGAGACGAGTCAAGAAGCGACAGCTTCGGAAGCACCGTCACGTGTTTTGAAGATTCCTCGTTCGGGCCCCTTTCTCATTTGTTTGTTCGATTTGGCACGATCGGTCGTTCTGCGAAAATTGCCACGCCCGTGCCTGAATTTTGCACGTAATTCGTGGTGTGGCGGTCCCAATTTTTTTATTTTTTTTTTACAGGAGTGAAAGATACGTCGTTTAAAAAAAGTTGAGCGAGCATATATGTCATTGGGTTCAACGATGAAGATATGCCCAATGGATAAGAGAACCAAAACAAGGTAGCTAAACACAATTATCTATTTTTCTTAGACATATCTATACATAAGGATAAAGTTAGATAGAAGAGTCTTGTGGTTGAGCCATGTGTCGTACGATTAGGGGTGAGCAGTTCCAGATTCCGTACAGTTTCACTTAGAACCTAGAATTTGTCCGTTGGAACAAGTTCCATATTTTATAAAACCTGAAACCTATCATGCATGCATTGGAACCTACCCTATCACAGGTTTCAGGATCTATTCATGTTCCACATATATTGTTAATTGAACAATTGCAGTGAACCGTCACCTTTAATAACCATCGCTTGCTATTACAATTCACTGACCACAATTTATATTCAGACACACGAAGAATATGAAGTATTAACAAAGTTAAAGTCTCACTCACAAAATGAAAGCTCAAACTAGTGGGTTCTAGATTATACATTCATCATCGAACGCTATGGAATAATGCATGATCACGCAAAGACATAGATCAAGAAAAACACAAAAACTTATTTCAGCTTCCAGGTTCTAACTACCTAGAACCTGAAATCTACCCGACGAAACAGATTTCCCAAATTCTTAAACTTGGAACCTACCATGCATACCCTGAAACCTGAAACCGGACAGGTTCCCACCAATCCAATTCTCTGATTCCATATATCAACCCTATGTATAATCATTGGCTCTATCTTAGTACCTTAAGCATTGATGACATTAAAATAGCCTTTTCATGGCTTTTAAGGGAATTCTTGTGCATTTAACATTGACAAAAGCAATGTAAATACAAATGGTTTGAAAGGATCGTTTTATAACGATATTACAATTACCATGATTTTCTTGTCAATAGCTAGTTATCCCATGTAATCAAGTGATACGGTTGTCCGGGATGGGCGAGTTGTTGAGGGAAGTACATATAGATTAGAATGTATGGAATGGATGTCGATGCAAATGTAGGATAGAATACGATCACCACCAAGGCCTAAAGGACACACCACCAGCCACAGATAAAGATCAGGACTAACGAAGTTTACCACTAAAGCTTAAAAAACAAACTACCCATCAAGGATAAACAACTTCAGGATAGAAGCTCGCCACTAGAGCCTAAAGGATGAACCACCAACCGAGGATAAAAGGGCATCTTAGTGCACCACCAAGTAATAACCACTTTCCAAGGATTAAGGGACAGGGATAGAAGAAGCTCACGACCAAGGCTTAAGGAAAATCCACCAGCCGAGATAAAGGGCTTATTGACTTACCACCAAGGAAGAATCCACCTCCCAAGGATAAAGAAAGAGGGCATAGAAATTTGCTCACACGGAGAAAAATCTTATATATTCATATACTCAAGTCTTCGTGTCTTCTACAATGAGATCACACCTCTATTTATAGAGATATTGCTAAACAAAATAGAAGACTATTCGAATTCTTGGAAACCGAACAAACTTTTGGAGGAAGTCACCTAATTATGACTCTTAAAAGCAACCCGCGATAAAGACTCACAAAATGCTGTGAATTAAGAAACTTAATAACTAGGACTAAATGCGTGCGACCAATTATTGAATGCATTGAAACTTGATAAGGCTCTCTAAATTCGTGCACCAGTCTTGGAAGCCGAATAGTCATAATAGAAAATCATCAAACAACGATAAAAATCAACCGGAACAACCTCTGAAAGTTAGGTAATTGATTAGTAGCCTTGGAATCGACTACAAGCATGTAAATCGGCATGAAGGTAATCAATTGATGCCCATGAAATCTACCGATTCGGTAGCCTCTCCATATAATCGACAACTTCAATCTTGAATCCAACTTATTAAGTTGTAGCCGAAATTGGTTTTTGCCTGTCTAAATAACAGGTGGGTTGGGTCTATCATTAAGACATGAGTAAATAGAAACTGATGCTCCCGCATCATCAAGCCAAAGATAATATTTCATTTAATAATGTTTTAGGGAACTTTACTTTTGAATTGCACGATGATAATGGATGTTTAGAAATTTTAATGAACTTAGCTTTGTCAAATATTTTTAATTTTTTCCTGAAATTATCTTTTAAAAGATCGTATAGTGATGGCACGAAGAATAAATAAAATCGGACTATTGGATTAACCAAATAAAATGACAGTTGAACAGTTAAAATACATATACTATTACGTAATGACACATATTAAAGTAAAATAAAGGGTTAATATCACGTAAAATCCAAAAATAGTACACTTGTGACAAATTTATTCAAAACTATTTGACCACAAAAAATCTCAAACTAATACACATTTGACAAATTTACTCTAAAATAATTTTTTGACCATAAAAAACGCCAAACTGGTACACCTGTTACAAATTTACCCTCAGTTAGTTTTCGTTAAATTTGATTAATACCACAAAAATCTCAAACTGGTACAATTACAAACAAAGGATAAAACCCCAAACCAGTATATCCGTCAATTGCCATGGGTCATCCAACTCAGCAAATTGACGGCAAAATTTAACGGAAACTAACTGAGAGTAAATTTGTCATAGGTGTACCGGTTTGGGATTTTTGATGGTCAAAAAATTAGTTTGGAATAAATTTATCACAGGCGTACCAATTTGAGGTTTTTGTGGTATTAACCCTTAAATAAATCAAATGCATTTATTAAAACTAGAAGATGAATTTGTCTGCTTTTACTTGTGCTTAGATTGTTTTTAGAATAGTATAAATAATAATAATAAAAAGAAATATACAACTCATTCACACAATAGCTAGGTGGCTACTGGCTACTTTGTTCGGAGAAGAGGGACACCATTTTCGTCCCAGACTGAAAAAAAAAAAAAAAAGAAGAACCAAACAGAAAGAAGAAAAAAACAGTAAGAATAATTTCAAAGCAAAAGTGGATCTCGCATGTAACCTTAATCTTCCTCGTGTGGAATAGAATTATATAATAGAAAATCTCTACGTTCCAAAAGCATGCTAAAGTGGGACTCAAGAGATAATATGGCCAATTCGAGATGGTACGGAACGCATGCAAATAGTTTTTATCACTTGAGAAGTGATGTTGCCAAGTAAAAAGTTACTTAATTTAATAACAATTTAGTTGGGCATTACACTTTGGTAGTTGGGTCACATGGTACAAAATAATTCTTTACTAAAAATAGTGTTAAAAAAGAAATTATTTCCTATATTTTTCTATTTTCAATATCCATTGGTGGTAATGTACTAGTAAAAAATGTCCAATTGTGAGAAAAAGATATTAAAAGTGTCATAACTTTTGTATTAGCGCTCTTTTGGTAAAATTTGGTAAAAAAAAAGATCACTTAAGCGCCGATTTGGGACGACGTGACAATATTTTCACTTTTTTCCAACCGATGTGGCTCGCAGGCGCTATGAGTCGGCATAAATGCCCTAAACGTATTCCCTAAACATGTTTGCCCCCAATTTAAAACCTTATGCGGACAAATCGAGCCATTTCTCCTCTTCTTCAAATCCTAACTCGGACCGAGGCAATTTGGGGCAATTAACCGATGCCGACTCGACGCAAGCAGAAACGTAGGCTCTGGACTCTCTAGCCAACCATTTGAGGAAGGAAGAGAAGCTTGGGAGGCGGGGAATTCGCAGCCGGTTGTCTTCGTCGTCTCGGAATCGGCATTCTTGAAAAGGAAAACAGAGGGTGGATGAGAATGGTAAAGCCAAGTTGGTGATACCGTGATAGATCAGGATGCTAGGGTTAGTCGGAAGGTGCTGGAAATCCCGGAATATTTGGGAAGAGGCGATGGATAATTTGCTGGTGGAAAAGAAGCACAGCAGGTTGCTCTCGAGGAGGAATTTGAGGAGCCGTATAGTAAAAGCGACGTCACCAGATTACCTGCGACAAATCTTAAACAACAATGACTCTGGTGCAGGAGACATCAAGGCAATGTCACACCAAACCCAGAAAAGCAGAAGAAGGCCAAGAGGAAGATCTGATGTGAGCAGCGTGCGGAAGATTGTCGTTTTATGATAAAACCATCTCATCGTCCACGCGGGGCTTGCTTTCTTCCTTTCTTTCCTTTTTTGGATTAATACTACGAAAAACTCCATATCTCAAACTAATCATAAATTGATATATCTGTGATAATTTTACCCTCCGTTAATTTTCGTAAATTTTACTGTCAAATTACTTTATTAAATGATAAGTGAAAACTGACGGATATACCAGTTTTTGAGTTTTACCCTCCGTTTGTGCCATTTTGTGATTTTTTTGTGGTATTAATCCAACTCAACGGAAACTAACGGAAAGTAAATTAGTTTGAAGTTTTTTGTGGTCAAAAAATTAGTTTGGGGTAAATTTGTCACGGATATACCACTTTAGGATTTTTGGGTAAATTTGTCACGGATCTATCAGTTTTGGATTTTTCGTGGTATTAACCCTTCTTTTGGAGGGGAAATATTGATCTCCTTCGGGTTTTAGAGGGGAAGTATTGATCAATACTCGCTTAATTTGGATTTATGATTTCAATAAGTATTGATCTTAGAAAATTGTCCAAAAAATCATAAACTATTACCTTGTTGCCAATTCAGTTATAAACATTTTAATTGTGTCAACTGAATCATAAACATTTTCACGTTTTGCCAATTGAATCCATCCGGCCAATTTTGCCCGAAAATCGCTGATAAGAATGTCGGCCAGCCGACCTATGCGGCACAATCGACGCTAATGTGGATAATTTTTAATAATTTCTTTTCGGATTTTTTTCCTTTTCTTATCTTCACCTTTACTTTTTTTTTATTGTTTTTTTTCTCCTTTTCTCTTCTTCCTTTTTTCTTTTTCTCTTTGTCCATCCACCATCGCCCTCGCTGGCTCGGCAGGGGTAGCCCTTTGCCAAATCGGGCAAGGGTTTGCCCTCGCTAGATCTAGGCAAGAGCCTCGCGGCCCTTTCAAATTGGTACTTATTGAGTGCATCCACGAGTCTCTCAAATTGCTCTTTCAGAACGAGGGAGTCCACCTGAGACAAGTAGATGAGACTGATAAAGAACCACACTAATCTCACGGATCAGACAGGAGCCTGACTACTAACTAGGACTGAGGTACCTAGGCTTGTGAACGATGCTTTGTACAGTTTCCAACCACGGAACCAAAAGGGGGCTGTTAAAATATAGTTTCTATAGGTTCTGATTTTCAAAGCATTGATTAAAATAATTTATGAGAATAACTAATGCGTTGAGAAATTATAATCAGTTTAAAGACGTTCCTTTTTATTTAGTTACTTAACAAGTGCTCCGAACTCGTTATCACATATCCGCACGTTATAATTTTCCTTACCAGATGGACTCAATTAGATCCAGTGAAGTGATCTCACCAGTGAATCTGATGCAGCAATGGCCTTTCCAGTTTTCACTCCTTTGGTAGAGTTACAATTGACAGAATATGAGAGAGAGAGAGAGAGAGAGTTCAAGGATACAAAGAATAAGCTATACATATATACAGCATTAAACTGTTGTTTCAGACTACTAGGTACACAAAATTTGAATCATAACAATGGCTTTTTGAATGAGACCCGCTTGCTCTGCCCGACCCGACGACGACGAGGAATTGATGAAGCTCTCCGTCTAGAAAACTCGGTCTCCGGTAGCATAGAGGTTGTAGAATATGGTAGTGACGAAATAGAGAGCAGCGGTGACCGTAAGAAATGCTCGGAAAGATCCGAGCCACTGCACGAAATAACCGGTACCGATCGTGCTGATTATTGCAGCAACTGTTCCTGCTGAATTCGCGATACCTGCACCGTAGAAAGGGTCCGGTTCTTGAGTCGATACGCAAACATTCCGTCGCACCCATTTGGAATTGAAGTTTGAAAGAAGCTATTTGAGCGGAAATAAAATTGCAGGGGAGAACTTACCATGAAGAAATCCTGCACACTGTGGAGCTATATCCTGATTACATGGAGAAAGAGGATAGATTGATCAGAATGTGGTTAACAATCTCATGACTGATGAGGCAATGAGTCAAGAAGTATGCACTCAACATCTCTGTAACAAGATGGTACTATCCTATGTGAACTCACTTGAATATTTAGGAGGAAGCCAGCCTGACTGAATGAACTGAAGCTTAGTGCCACCGTGATGAACAGGGAAGCGACGGCTGGCGAATTGGCGTAATTTAAACAGAGCAATGCAATTCCAGGCCCGATGAAACCGATCGACTGCGAAAAATGACATGAGTGAGCATCCGCAAAATGATCGTCGATAACAGAGTTTATCGAGGATCGGAGGAAGAATTGAGAAATTTACCTGCATGACCTTTCGCACCAGCGTAAGTGAATACCCGGCCTTGATCAAATAATCGGATGCTGCGCCGGCAATGTACCCAGATACCGCCATTGTTCCCCATGGAACAGCGCTAAACCAAGCCGCATTCTTCAGATTTATGTCGAACACCTGTAATTACCGCAAAGAACTGGGGACAATCAATTGAACTTCATCTCGGTCCGACGATGTACCGGACAGACAACGGTGTCGGTAACGCGATACTCACAGTTTTGAAGTAAACGGGCATCCACGAGAGCAGAACGAAATATCCCTGCGACCGATGTTCGCGGCGTATCAGATGAATAGCATAAATGATCAATCAATTACGTTGCTGAAGCTACGTCAAGCGAGACTAACCCAGTTGTTGGTGATGTTGGCCAGTATGATTGCCAATGCCGGTGGCTTAGACAGTAAAACACGAATCGATGGGATTTCTCCGTTCCCGACCGCAGCATTCGATTTTCCATCTTCGATCAGCCGCAGCTCCGATGCACCGACAAATCGGCTCTCTCGCGGGTGGTTGGTCACCCCATTGGCCCACCTCATTAACCAAAGCAGTCCAAGCGACGAGAAGAGAAGGAATGGCCCCGAAATGCCGACGGAGGACATCATCAGAGGGGTGAGAATCAGGCCTGCGACGTTGCCAAGGTGAAATCCCCCCATCGATATCCCGACCGCGCTCGCTCGCTCATGGCTCGGGAACCACCTAATTCGAACAAGCCACGTTAGAGCTACAATTTCTCTCCGGACAAAATGTCGAAGACTCGGATCAACAAAAACCGATTGTGCAGCCGGCCGACTACCCAAAGATCACCCGGGAGAGCAATAAATTAAGACGTCTTACCTCGACGAGAGGTTGCTCATGGAGGGAAGAGCAACGCCCTCAGCAAGCCCGAAGAACGCGCGCATGGCCAGAAGGGCGACCGTCGAGTGGTTGGCGGCCCAAGGGGTGAGGAGGGTGGCCAGCGACCACAAGGCCACGCCCCACGCCATCACCCTCTTCCCTCCGTACTTGTCGACCAGCACGCCGCCGATCACCGACGAGAACACGTATCCCCACAGGAAAGATGACTGTGCCACATGCACAAACACATACCTTGTTAGCCAAGAAAGTGACGAATTCAGCTATTGCAACACAATCAGGACTGTATTTAGAGGTCAATTTTGATTGGGTTCGTGAGAAATTCATACATTGTTTCAATCTCAATCAACCAAAAGTGGAAGCGAAATGACCCAATGACGTGCCAAACTATATGATTCTGCACAAAGCTAAAACCCTGAATAAATTGATACCTTAACCATAACTCCGGAGCAAATTTTAAACCTAAATTAAGGCGGTTGGCTTTGAGATGATTAACACTACATAAGCATCAATCTCACAATCAACTGTCCTAGCCGTCTTTTTCCCGAAAACAAAATTCCGTGGTCACGGCTTGCCCCCGGTCTTACGTCTCAGCTACATATCGGGATGCGGTATAACGAGTACGATACGCAGAGATAAATTTATCTAAACTCGGATGAATTCGAAGATAAGTTCCTCAGTCGTCAATAGAAGAACCCGGATTTCAAATCGACAAATTAAAACTTCAGAAAAAAAAAAAAAGGAGAGAGAGGATGTTTCAAATCGACAAATTAAAAGTTTAGGGCCCAAAAATCGGCGGGGCACGAGGAGCAGCAAAAGTGGGTAGACGACGCTGACTTTGAAAATGATACGAGAAGCTTGGGGAAGAGATTTGTTCTCCTTAAATAAATAAAATAAAATAAAATAAAACTACCCAATCTTGCCGTATAAAAATAAATTATTCTTTTAGGTTCCTTTGACATTAGTTTTTTTTTCTTTTGTTAAATACAATATTCATGGAAACCGTCATAAAATACTAAATTCGTCCTCTTTCGTCATATCACTCCGTCTGTTTCGCGAAAAATGAGTTAGTAAATGATGGCTTGTGTGATCACAAAAATGAATAAACGAAACTTTTTTTTGTCCATCTCGAAAATAATTACACGTGAATTATTATATGACAATGGAAACATTTCTTTTCTCTCGAGCTAAATCGAATCAAGAGACGTGCCGAGCGCGCCGATCACAACCCGAGCCCCATGCATCCGAGCTCTCACATCACGTCAAGGTCGGCATTAACGGCTCGGATGGATCGGGCTCACATGCATTGATGAACATCGCCGCCTTTCGCTTACGTGTGCGGCGGGTCATCATTGGGTGTGGGGGGGGGGACCCGCCCGACCCGCTAGGGTTCGGAGCCGCAAAAGCTTTTTCCAGGAGGCGGCGAACCAACGGACGTAGTTTTCTTACCCACCACACATGCTCTATTCATTTTTCTATTAATTTTTTTTTTTGGGTCGTGATTCATTTTTCTATTTACCACGGGGAAAATAAAAATAAAAATTTACAATACGACGGCAAAAGATTCCAAGAAAACTTTGGCTTTTTTCTATTGGAAACATATATAAATCATTTCGATTTTGAAAATTCATAAAACAGATTCCAAACGTCAGTACTAATATGCTATCAACCAAATTAGAGGGTTATAATACTGAACCCTAGCAATCACATCTCGAATAATAAAAAGTATAGCTTAAAAAAGAGAATTTTTTAAATGAAGGTTATTGCCGAGGCATAATTACCTTTATCTCTCGAGGCATTTAACAGATGAAAATTCACAAAATTCTTTTGTTAACTATCGGTATCAATTCTACATATATTCGTTCGACCAAGGAAAGTACGTGATTCTTGTTTAATGTGGCATTTTTTTCTCATAGAATATGCGATTAATATTTCAAAAGTGAGAAGAAAAAATCATTAGTTAAGCATCCTTAATTAGCACCTGAACATGTTTTTCAACAAGATCTTTCTTATTCGGAGAAAACATTAATAAAGGATATAGGTAATTAAAACTGTGAAAGTAAATATGTATATTTTTTTCAATTATATGTGTTTTTCGGGGAACAAGAAAATGAAAAAGAAGGAGGAAAGAAAAAAAAAAGGGTACCTGAACAATGCCCAGGAAAGGGGTGGACCAGCCGTGCCGGGCGGCGAGGGGGACGACGGCGACGGACATCACCACCCGGTCGGCATTACACAGGCACATCGCGCACGCCATCAGCGCCACCACCTTGAACCTCTCCGGCACCGCGCCGACCGCGTCCTCCGCCGCCTCGACGCGGCCGCCCCTGTCCCCGAAGAGCAGCCCCCGCTCGATCCCCTCCGCCGTGCACCTCGCCTCCTGCTGATGCCGCCGCCGCCTCCACTCCTTCCCACCATTCCTCCGAGCTCCATCGCCGGAGCGGTCCCGCCCGACGGGCCTGGCGCGAATGCCGGGGGCGAACCCTAGCTGGGTCCTCCCGAAACTCGCCAGTCTCGACCTGGTGGAGATCGAGAGGCGCGGGTCGGGAGACGAAACAACGGGGACGGCGGCGGCCGCGGCGGCGGGTCTCAGGGCCTCCATGGTAGAGAGAGAGAGAAGCAGGGGAGGGAAGGGAAAGCAGAGTCAGAGGGGCATGGAATATACGGGCATTTCGACGCTGGAAAACGTCAAAGCGGAGCCCCGAGAACCCTGCAATTTTACACTGCGAGGAGGAGGAGGAGAAGACATCCACACACATACACGCAGCACGAGCGTCAGTACTCCAATACCAGGTGGAACTTTATATGATGATGGTGGTGCGGCAGGAAGAAAGTCGTTCTTTTTTGGGAGGGGGTTGGTGAGGAGGGGGAGAGGACTCAGCATTTGGTCTCTGTCCCTCTCTGTTTTTTCTATTCTCTCTTGTGTGTGTATGTATGTTCTTTTTCGTGTTTGGACCTAACCCCGTATTCATATATTCCCCTCTTTTTTTTTTTTTTCCATTTATTCGGAGAAAGGCCGCCTCGACGACCACGGGTCGTTATTTAGTTCCTTAACAAATGCTTCGAAATCGCCCTTTCAGGGGAAAAACCCCTCGTTGTAAAGCTCGAGTTACACGGGCCGGCCCGAAAAATGGATAAGGCTTCTTTTTTTTTAAACCTTAATTCGAAGTTAGAACGATCGATAATTCAATTCGGGCACATAATCTACAATAGGCGTTGATTCTATCTTTCGAGGCGATCCGGTCCCGCGAGCCGGGACCGGCTTCGAAAGATAGGAAGCCACGTGTCGATGGTTTGCCAAAAACAAAACGACCGTATCCGCCCCTTGATACAGAACTTTGCTGATTTGGTCATATATTTTTGTTGACGATCATTGAAATCTTGAAGATCGTAAGAAAGTCTGAATTGAAACCCCCTCGAAAAAGTGGAGAAAAATATGGCAAATAAAATAAGTAAGTAATCAAAAATTTTTAAATTTATTTTCGTCGTCCTTTTGTTCTTGCGGCGTTGCAGGTGAGGGGGTCGGAGAAGTGGGAGAGGGGACTCGGTCGGGCAGGCAGGGGTCCTAAAAAAACGACGCGGCACTCGAGAAGAGTCGACGTGGCAACACGTGTTCCGTATCTGCCTCCCACATGCTCGGCTTCCCCCCACCAACCACCGGGGATCGACCTGGCTAGTACCGGAATTCCCGGTGACAAATTCTGCATCTTTCTTGCCTTTTATTTTATTTTATTATTATTTTCGGGCGAAAGCCGCCGGAAACCTTAAATTATACCCGCCGTGTCACGTTAATCCTAAACTTTTTTCCTTTTCTTCTCTGCGACGCCAAAAGTCTCGGACTTGTACATGGGCGGCGCATTTACCTCCCTTCGAAGTTCTTTTAACGAGAACTGGTTAAAAATCTGCCCACATGAACATCTGAAAGTAAACAGACACCTGAAAGTAAACAGAGTTGATATGGCACTCACGTGACTTAAGAAAAATAAAAATAATATTATTTTGGCTGAAAAATTATTTAACGGAACCCTGACAGAGAAAGGTAAATGTGTTACACAAAAACAAGTTTTGGGATTTTTTTACGTTAAAAAAAAAGTTTAGGGTAAATATGTCACAGTATGCATAATTTAGGATTTTTTTATGACTTTTTCCCTTTATTTTTTTTTTTGCTGAGTCAACTCTACTACTTCTACTACCACAACTTGTAACGGACCGTTCGATCTCAATCTCATGTTGTACTTTGATATCCCCTCTCCGGTTCCGGCCTAGTCTTTCAATCAATAACTTCTTGAGAGTTCGAAAGATTATAGATGATTCCGCTTCGTTCTGAAATTTGTTAAAAAGGGGGACATTAGATCTCTTTGCGTTAGTTCGTTATTGATGTTCGGCATCTAAGTCGTGTTACGGGCGGCGGATTTTGCGTGCTCGACAGCTCGTTACTCTTGTGTATGACTTGACGCGCCGTCTAAAAAGAGAAAGATAGGGTAGGGATGGTTGAAGTGGCGAGACGCAACGGAGAAAAGTGTGCGGGTGGAAATGATGATTCGGATAGTCGTATCAATAGTCGAGTTGAATACGAACTGCATCTTCTACACGGGGTAATTTGTGTAGTTTTAGAGAAAGAAAACGGTAGCCAAACTCTGTCTCTAGCCTTCTTTTAATCACGACACTCGATCACGAATTAGCCTACTCAACTACGGTCGAGGCGAAAGCCAATTCCTTCCCCCGATGAAGAAAAGATCGCTCGAAATTTACACGTCATCTCATATTTTACGTACCGAACGTGACTCGGCCTTCTCTTTATGTATTGCAGTCATATGGGATGAAGAAGGGAGGAAAAGAAAAGGAAAAATATATATAAATTATAATTTGAAATTTTATTAAAATATTATTTAAAAATGTCCACGTTAGCGCCGGCGACGTCCATGTCGAAGATTTCCCGCCAAAATTGGCCGGATGGACTGAATTGATACATATGTAAAAGATTTAGAACTCAATTGGCAAAAAAAGAAAGGTTAATGACTGAATTGACACAATTGCAATAATTTTATGACCTTTTTTGATAATTCTCCCTATTTATAGTCGAGTTGAATACGACTCGCATCTTCTGCACCGGGATAGTTTGTGCAGTTTCGTAGAAGGGGAACGATAACCAGAACTGTGTCTCCGGCTTTCTTTTAATCACGACAGTCGATCACAAACTAGCCTGCTCAAGTGCAGTCAAGGCAAAAGGCCGATTCCTTCCCCCCCCATGAAGAAAAGATCTCTCGAAATTTATGCGTCATCTCGTATTCGCGTACCGAATGCTACTGAAGGCGATGCGATGACTAGGTTGAATGCATCCGGTTTATCGAGATAAGTATGATCCTTTCTCGCGCCACGACGTCATGCCGATCCTTGTCCAAGGACAACTCGATCGATGTTTAGGGCCAACTCGATCGATGTTTGGGCGGACCATTTGGCTCTCCCTCTCTTTGTTCCTCGTGCAAAGAAGAGGAAATCGACAATAACAACATCGCCAGCCTCCAATTACATGGAGCTTCGCTTCAAATCAAAGGCAAAAAACGAAAGAAATCATCATCACCACGCATTCTCAGTATTTCCTTGGCTGACATCTCTACACGGTGGCCCAAACGTTTGGATGTCGACATGTCGTGCGCCCTCGCTTTCACGAGCCGGGAGCGCCTGCTTACGCGATGTCGCCGATCGATCCGATTCCGATTTTCTGCATGACATGCATCCCGACTAACTTTACATCTTGACATCGAAAACCCTCGTCTCTTATTGATTGGCGCTTTATGTATGACCGTCATACTGGTGTAATTACTGCACAAATTACCGAAAAAGCATTCGGTAAATCATAGATGCAGTGGAGCGCGTAGGGTAAATCACAGTTCAAATTTTTTTTGGAAAATTTTTTTTTAGTCGGAAGAAATCCGGCTATTTATTGGTATCGGTATGCAATTGACGATTTGCTGTAGTCTATTGTTATTAGACACGCGTCATGCAGCAATACAGCCTATTTGAGCAAGTCTATGCAATAACTCTCCGGAAATACCTACTCGCTAGAAGAGAGTGTCTGGGTTATTCGCCGTAACATGTGAGTCTCACGAGATCTAATGAAAAACATGGGATTTTTCGACACGAAGTATTACAAGATCCGAACGACTTTGCGGATTCCAGAGCAGCAAATTCCGGCTTAATTAAAGCATTTTTTACATCTGCTCTAGTCACAGTTGAGCTACTCACGGGATTATGCTAATCTCTTTTTTTCTCTTTCTGCCTAATGATGATTAATCTTAATGAGCAATTTTTTTTTGCAATTTTTTTGGGTGGAAATGGATGGGTTTTGGCTTTTATTTAAATAATTTATTTTATTAATGCCAAAGTGGGTCGTGGTCTTGGACAACCCGTGATTTTAGTAAAATACTCGAACGGGGTCGGTTCGCGTTGTTGGTGATTCTGTACTTTTTGTTATGTATGTGGTCAGTGGTCGGATTAATGAAAATTAGATACGATGACGTGGCACGCCTTATCCCCAATTAGGATGGGTCCCACTTACCAAAGCTTTAAATTTTTTTAAAAATCTTTTTTTTTAAATGCGAGGTCGTGCCTGCTCTCAACGAACTCCACGATCTTCGGTGAAGAATTTCATTGCAAAGAGAGAAAAACATGCTCTTGCTTCGCAGAAAAAGACGGTCATGCTAACGTACACCGCCATTAATTCTTTTCCTCGAGGAAAAAAAAGGACATATAAATGAGGAAATAATAATGAGATACCCTAATTTTGAGAGATTTAAATCTATCATATTCCTAATTCGAGTAGATTTTGTAGAGAGGGGTTTCCTATTTTGATACAAACATCATATATATATATATAGAAGGCACGCTATGGAGCGAACATGAGGAGTGTTAGCTTTTCTCTCAATGAGTTTGAGTCTTCTGCCGGATATTGTGAGGTAACACTTTTGTGGCTTTTTATATCGGGTGCAATTGGTGGTTGAGCGATTGTAAACTCTGTACTCCCCGCATGGCTCTATCTGTGGAGTGAATACTTACACTCTGATGGAACCACGTAATTTTCTGATATCATTATTGTCCCTGATTGATTTCTCTAGTAGTTTATTATTCTCACACCTGACTTGAACTGCAAGTTCCATTAGCTTCCACGTTATATTAACAGTAACTGGTATCGGAGCTAAGGTTTGGGGTTCTAGTATTGATCTTGAGTTTTCTTTGTCTGATCGTTCTCTGGAAACGTCGTGTTTGCAATTATGTCTGAAGCAAGATTTGAGATTGAGAAGTTTAATGGGAAGAACAATTTTGGATTGTGGAGCATTAAGATGCGTGCCTTGTTAACAATTCAAGATTTGGCGGAGGCGTTAGATGGCAAAGATAAATTGCCAGAAACCATGAAAGATGTGGATAAGGAAGAATTGATGGAGAAGGCAAGAAGCATGATCTTGTTGAATCTGTCAGATGATGTATTGATTGAAGTGGCCAAAGAGAAGGATGCCGCGGTGTTGTGGGCAAAGCTTGAGGCACTTTATCTAACGAAGAATCGCTTGTATATACTTAAAAGAATGTTTCAATTTCGAATGGTTGAAGGCACGTCCATCAGAGCCCATTTAGATGAGTTTAACAAACTCATGATAGACTTGAAGAGCGTCAATGAGGTCTTACCTGATGAAAAACAAGGCATGATGTTGTTGGCATCTCTACCGGGTTCTTTCGAACATTTTACCAATTCACTACTACAAGGGCGTACCGCTATAACTTTAGAAGAGGTACAGTCTGCCTTGTTTTCTGAAGAGTGGCAAAGAAATTTACTAAAAGATAACTTAGCAGAAAATATGGAACAAAGTTCGATCATCCGGGGTAGAGACGCACACCGAGAGCTTGGAGGTAATAGATGGAAGAGCCGTTCTAAATCGAGATCCAACATTCGGGACCGTCGATGTTATCACTGCAACGAGGTAGGGCACTATAGGAGAGAATGTCTGAAAAAACAATGGCAAAGGAGTTAAAGGTGGAGTCTGCAAGCTATTGTAATATTGTTACCGTTGCAAATAATAGATGAACATGTGCTAGATTTATACCTTTGAGCTTGCAAGGTCGAACATATGTAGGGCCTTATATATCATCTGCTAGATTTCTTGCATCTAACTACTCTGGAGACAATGCACATTTCACGTTCTAGTACCTTTTCTTTTTGGTCGAAACGTTCTAGTAACTTTTTTTTTTTCGGTCAAAGTTCTAGTACCTTACATGGTGTGATATTTTCACAATAACAATTGTCTCAGATCGAAAACGACGTTGTTCCGTATTAAGTTGGAAAACGACGTTGTTCCGTATTAAGTTGGGCATGAAGTTACCAATCAATTCTCCGACATAAAAATGCCTCAACTAGTGCCTCTCGGGCCCTCATCTTAATATGACAAGTACATTTGAAGAGTCGAAATCGAACTCGGTCTCTCACCAATTGTTCGTCGACCATCACTCGCCCCTTCAGTCGCAATTCTTCGCTTGCTTTCTCTTGAATCCAGCGGAATATCTGCAATGACAAGGTAGCTTTCTTTCTGGCTCAAAACATGAGATTTGCAAGGAAGATTGGGTACGAAGAAGGCAAAGTTCTGTCGGTCGAAAACAACATGAACCGTCCTAAAAAAACTAGAGCAATATTGGCATTAGAAAGAAGCTTTGCTTTCATACTCAATGAGATAAAGGCTCGTAAGAAAGATCGGGTACGACGAAGCAAATTTCATAGGCGCATATGAATCCGATACATATTGATCTGATGTGAGCTCTACATGATCTGATGACCGAGATCATCTAGGCTCGTGCATCGATAAACCCAGAAAATATCTTTACGAAATAAGCGAGGAGGCTTACGAATTACAAACCCCCAAAAAAAATTCCTCAAGCTTGTCATTATCAAGGAGCATCTTGTAATGGACTTAAAGCCTATTTGGTGGGTTAGGTGAGGAGTTAATGTTGCGATATTAGGTGAAGTTTGAACATAGTGTTTGCACACGAAAGTTAGGTGCTCCAAAAAAAAAAAACCCTTTTTCGCACTAGGGAAAATATCAATCTTTTAGGAATGGCAGCTTATGAAGACAATGAGTGGTGGCAATTTCATTGGCCTATATGGACTATAGTTGTAATTTGTAGAGATTTTTGGAAGCTACAAGACATAAGGAGGTGTTGACTGATTTATGGACATGTACATAAAATTGACATACCACTTGTCCTTATTCGAGAATACGAGATGTTGGAGGCGGGAGGGGCACGTACGTTGCCCTTAACGCTAATGGTACATCGAAACCATTCAGATATCGATTCCTTATGCTGTGTATATGAGGAGATTTCGATTGGCGACGCGAAGCATGACAGCTACATATGATTCTTTCAAAGGACTAGTCAAATCGACTAACAATCTAAGGGGTCATCTTTGCTTTCCAAGCACAAGAGGAGTCGAGGAACTCTATCGAATGCACGGCGATAGGAATACAGATATCAGGACTTTCCTATGCACCCTCCTATCTAAACACACTTTCACAGTCCTTTATGGACTTATGCATGTCCTTTATGAACTTAGCATGACTAGTTACGTCCTCACTGTTTTTGGAGATTTCATGCGACTTTCGCCGCTTCTTAACGTGTGATTGGATCGATCCCAAAATTGAATGTAAACACAGTGCTCTTGCATCCGAAAGAGAAACCCGACAAGAACGAGGTACTCAAAGTCGGGATCGCATTCGCAGCCCAAATCTGCGAATGGGCTTCTTCACAACCGGATTGACCATGGTGACACAATTCAACTCAATTTCTTTTACCTTAGAAAAAAACCACAAAAAAACTCCTGACTATATCCATTAACATTTTTTTTTGTGACATCGGAAACTCCAAACAATGCCCACTTTGACACATTTTTTATAAACTTTTTCTTGTGACATAAAAATCCGCAAACTTTTACCTATGTTACATATTTACCTTCCATCAATGTTCCGTTTAGATGATTTTTCAATCAAAGTAACGTTGATTTTATTTCACTTAAGTCTTGTGATGGCCATGTCAACACTGTTTACTTTATATCATTCATGTAGGTATATTTTTAATGGTTTTCATTTAACAAAAAGTAAACGTGCCACATAGATACAAATTCAAATTTTTGTGTCACAAATTTTTTTTTACGGTAAATGTGCTACAGTAGACAGTTTAGGATTTTTTGTGACTTTTACCCTTTACCTTACAAAGTTTAATGTTTTTTTTGTTTGGCTTTTTACTATTTTTTTGGACCACTCGAGCCGTCTAACTTCAGAGTGGTATGTTTTGCTTTGGTAACTATCGACACCGACCAACTTTTACTATCAACGAGTCATGAGCTCGATCGAGTATATATAGTAAAGTCCGGTAAGAGAGGTCATCGATGAACGAGGCAATCGACTTGGAGAAATCGATAGACCGTCAATAGAGTTGTCGACGGCGAATACGGTGGCCCTTATCGGTCGACAGAATTCATCGATGGTCCATTATTGCAAACGGTATAGGTTGAAAGTATCTCCGAACCGAATCACAAATGCCCCCAATGTTTGCTAAAGTCGAACGGCCCGGCCTAGATGTTTCACAAGAGCATCATGGCCTCAGCCCCGGCCCATCTGATGAGGTCGAGTTATCATGAATGCATATAGTGCGTACGACATGCTACGCGATGGTACTACGTGAAGAAGGTAAGATCTCTTAAAACTCATATGTGGATTGAATCGTATGCACATAACACTAATCGAGCTACGATAAAAAGTAAACAAAACATCTCTTATTTGGGCCGTCGAAAATCAAAACGATACCGAGGGGGAAAGACTTATCGAATGACCTATAAATCATGTGAAATTAATATCGTCTCAATTATTAATTATATGGGTCTAGAAAATTATTAGGTAAAGTTTTTTTTTTTTTCCATTTTTGGGTGACATTTTTTAAGTATAATAAGAAAGAGAGATGAACAAACTGGTACATTTGTGACAGTTTTACCATTCGTTAGTTTTTGTTAAGTAGGATTAATACCTTAAAAAGTCACAAATTGATACACCTGTAACAAATAGAGGATAAACCAAACTGGTATACTTATCAACTGTCACGTGTCATCCAATTCATCAACTTTGTCAAAAGTATACTAATTTGAGGGTTTTTTTTTCGTGGTATTAACTCATAAACAAAAATATCTTTTATTTGGGCTGTCGAAAATCAAAACGATATCGAGGGGGAAAAACTTTTCGATATAAATCATGTGAAATTAATATCGTCTCAATTATTAATTATACGGGGCTAGAAAATTTATTAGGTAACGCCTTTTCTTTTTTCTTTCGAATTTTGGGTGACATTTTTGAAGCATAATAAGAAAGAGAGACATGACACTAGCAACGTAACGCCTAAGTTCGTGCGCACGTTTGAATAGAGCCTCCTCCATCTTCGTACAGATTTCCCGCTCCTTCCCTTCGATGCTGCTGCCACCGTGAAATCCCAAAGCTCAGAAGCAGCGCTCCAATGGAAGAAACCCTTCCGCAGCGCTGACCACGAACCTCCCTCCGTCCTCCGCCGCCGTCGCCGCCGCCGCCGCCGCCTTCCGTCGACCATGAAAGCGGTTCGCAAGCCCAGGAAGCCCGATTCGCCGCCCAAGGTACGGTCAGGGGCGACGACGCCGGAGGAACGCCCCGTTTTTCCCGTCTTCTTTTTTGTTGCGGGGGGAATCGGATTCGAGCTGGTGCGGGTGGGTGCTTGATTGGTTGTTGGTTTTTGGATGCGGCGATTTTTTGCAGCTGCTCCTGCGAGAGATCGTCGGATTGACCGCGAGGAACGCGAGCGGGCTCGCGGGGATCGCGCCCGCCAAGAGTTGCGTCTACGTGGCCGGCTGCGTGGCCGTGGTCTACGACGTGGCGTCCGGCGCGCAGTCGCACCTCGTGGTCTCGCATCGGGCGCCCAGGCCACTGAGCTGCGTCGCGGTTTCGCACGACGGCCGGTTCGTCGCGGCCGGAGAGGTCTGTTTTCCTTCCCCCTGAGGTTTGGCTGCTGGAAAGTGCAAATCTGGGACCTGAATGTTCAAGTCGTCTGATGGTTTTTGGCTTTTGTTGACTTGTATGGTGATTGCATTGCGAATGTCGACTGTTGTGAATGTGTAAGTATGAATGTTAGATGCTGCAATGCAATTTTGTGGAGGTTAAGATGTAAAATAGGTATGACAAAGAAGTGTTAATCTTGATTCAGCTGGAGTGCTTTCTTGCTTGTTTTACTTCAGTGAAGTAGGGGGAGGCCAGAGATGAAGGGGATAATTGTCGTGAACTCATTGCACCTATAAAATTCATGTATATGTGCATAGCTATAGAGAAAGTTGGTACGCCTCGCATGCTTCCTCGAATCAGAATTGACAATGTTAGCCACGATATGTTGTTTAACACGAGACAGAGTGAGGAACACGTACGCACTTATTTGAATTCCGAAAGCCATAATGTACCACGTGGCCTCGTGTTCTCTCCAATGTAATGTAACTGGTTAGGTCTAACGTAGCTTTGGTGGTAATTTGATCGAGTATACTTCTTGGCACCTACACCATGCATCTCATGTGGTTTTGCAGTCGGGGAATCAACCTTCGGTGCTGTTGTGGGACTGCGCAAATATGACATTTGTATCTGAAATGAAAGGTCATTTTCATGGAGTTGCATGCATTGCTTTCTCTCCTGATGGTTAGTGTGGAGCACATCATTTGACAATGAGTCTATTCAGTACTTGATATATTTAAGTGTTACAGGATTTTCTTTCTTGCTTTAAATTAGGGAAGCATCTCGTCTCAGTTGGAGGTTATATCTATTTCTGGGACTGGCAGAGTGGAAGATTGGCAACAAAGGTTAAAGCTAGTTCATCTTGTTCTGCCATTGCATCTGTTACCTTTTCCTCGGATGCAAAGTATATTCTGACAGCTGGAAATAAGCATTTGAAGATGTGGTCAGTTGCTTTGTCTCCCCGTACGCGCTTTAACGGCGAGGCAGATACGCGAGTGCTGCAGGGAAAGCCTCTTAATCTTGGTCTTCAGAGAGGACAGTCATTTGTATCAGTAACATCCCCCATCGCAATCAATCACCAACCAGCCAATGATAGATTTCTTATCTATGCATTGACTGAAGCAGGTCTGAATAGCAACTTGATCAATCATACCTGTCAAGTATATTTGATATTTGCCTGAATTATTGATTATATCTTCTTCCAATCATCTACTCTCAGGTGTCTTGTGCCTTATTCATTCTGGTTCCCTAAGAAATTTGGTGGATTTGAAGGTATTGTGGGTGTTCAATGTGATCATCATTTGCAGGAGAAAATCTTTTAGGTTTCCGATCTACAAAGATTGGAATAGTCCCTGCCATAGCTTGTAATTGATTATTAACTCAAAGCAGCAAGGATGGAGATATAGATGCAGAGCAATTACTAGTTTTGGATGAATGCCTAGCTGTGGGCCTTCTGATGTGCTCCTCTTGCTCTGCAGTTGTTACTGATCGTTTCATATGTTTCATTCTCAGGTTAAAAAAGCTTTTGCCCTGTCTGCATCAGACAGGCTAATTGCCTGTGGATGCAGTAATGGATTAGTACAACTGGTTTCCGTGGAGACCCTAGAATATGCTGGGACATTGTCATACTCAATGTCCCAAAAATACCATATTGAGATGGAGAATTACTATACTAAACCCAACCAAAAGGATTCTAAAGTCGTAGAAGCACTTCCAGATGCAGTTGCTTGTCAGTTCTCAACATCTGAAAAGCTTGGTAATAATAAGCATTTCATATCCATAGTTTTTCTAACATAATTACCCATGTCCACCCAGAATAATGGTGGAATTTTTTTAGTGGTTGTCTATGGAGATCGCAGCATCTATATATGGGATTTTGATGACACCAATAAGGTGATATAGCCTTGTACCTTAACTCAAAGTCCATAATGTCTTTTCCTCAATTATGTGTTTCAGTTATCGCGCTGTCATTTTTACGTCAATTGACACTTATGAAAACTTAATCCAGTGAGGCAATGCTCTCTCCTGTTTCAGGCTTCCAGGTGCTGTGTGCTTGTTTCACATTCTGCATGTATATGGGATATCAAGAATCTTTGCTGTGAAAACGAGCATGATCCTACTCTTGCATGTGTTGCTAGAGGCTGCTCTGGTGGAGTTTCCTTTGCAACATGCTCAGCTGATGGTACTATTAGGTTATGGGATTTCCTGTTGGAACCTAATTTACCGAAAGATGCTGCAAGCCGCAATTCCTTAGTTTCACATTTAGGTAAATTATCAACCCTTTTGCATGCACACTTAAGCTTTCATATTGAGCCTCCTCTCCATGCTTATCCATCCAAACTAGCTAAATTTTCTACCTACCATTCTCTTATCTCATTCTGTTTTGCTATAGCAAGTGCTGGAATTTTTGTTCGTGATACCATAGAGCCGGGCATTAGTGCTCATGGATTTCGGTCAATGACGGTCAGTTCAGATGGGCAGTACCTGGCTGCTGGTGATTGTGATGGAAATATTCATATCTATAATTTATATACTTCTGAATACACATGTCTTAAGGTAAACTCAGGATGCTCAACATGATTTTAGGGTTCTGGTAGAAAAATATACACAGAGAAGCATTGCATTCCCAAACATCATGCTTACACATTGAAATTGCCTCTTTGGCAGGGCGCCCATGATGCAGAAATCCTTTCCTTATGCTTTAGCTCATTAGGTAAGAAGAATAGCATTTCCGAAGGAGTCAAAGACAAGAACTACTTTCTTGCTTCAGGGGGACGTGATCGGGTTATCCACCTTTATGACGTCGAAAGGTTTATGCCAACTTTGGTGCTTGTTAGCTTGGCTTTTGTAATATCCTTGTTTGTAAACCTTCTTTTATTCAGGAATTTCGATCATCTTGAAAGCATTGATGACCATTCAGCTGCCGTGACATCAGTTAAGCTCATCAGTGGTAATGGCAAGCTACTAAGCTGCAGTGCCGATAGGTAGGTCGGCAGATTATATTAAAATAAGAGAACAGGATCATTAATTAATATATTTTTCATACTCTGTCCTCTATAATGCTGAGTCCTTTTGGTTTTCATGTGTTGATCCTATACTTCATGGGGTGGCATTTTGAGTGACTCTAATTTGTCAATCACGCTGTCACTAACTCAAAAATGATGGGTTTTACTAAACTTTGTTGTCTTGTGTGGCCTGATGTGATTAATATTGTAGAAATTTTTTTGTGTTCTTTGTGCTATGTTGTTACAACTTTCTTTGCCATTACATGCACACTTATACAGGAAACTCGATTCTCCCTTTTACCACAGGTCGCTGGTATTCCGTGACATTGTAGTAGCAGATGGCAGTTATAAGATCTCATATGGTCATCGCCAGATGGCATCTAATGGAACTGTTTATGATATGGCTCTAGATCGATCTGAGGAGGTTGCAGTGACTGTCGGACAGGTATGTAATATCTTCAAATTTCCATTTAGATGTGCCTTGGACGGGTAGCCATATTTTGCATTCATCATCTTCTGTCTTCACGACTTTTAACAGTAGATCCATTTTATATAGTATCTGAACTCCACAAGCAAAGTTCTCTTTTTCTGTTCATGACTGCTAATGACGGCAAACTTGTATTTGCTTTGCAGGATAAGAAGATAAATACTTTTGATATAGCATCTGGGAAGCTTATAAGATCTTTCAAGCAAGATAGAGATGGTGGAGACCCTATCAAGGTGAGTTGCAAATGATTATCAAGGCATTGTTTGCCATACAAAGCCTTATCACGAGTACTAATTTCTTTTGCAGGTTTTCATGGATCCAAGCTGCAATTACCTGGTTTGTTCCTATTCTGACAAGTCAATGCGCATGTATGATTTCAATAGCGGGGAGATGGTTATACAAGCTGCGGGTCATGGGGAAGTAGTAACTGGCGTCATTTTCCTACCTGACTGCGAGCACATAATATCTGTGAGTTCACTATCCAGCTGAATCTTATAAACTTGTGTACTCTTAAGCAAATGATTCGGTGAGTTTCTATTGAGCTAAATTTAATAGCAAATACATGCTTCGATCTCTTTAGTCTGTTACAAAGGTAAGCCTTTTTTTGCATTAAGAAACTACATCAAGGAGGTATTCATAACTCCCAATTTCATGGCTCATATGGATAGTGTCTTCTATCTCAAACAATTACTCAACGTCATTATCATAAGAAAGATGCAATTGTTTCATGCAGCTATATGCTTAAATAAATACAAAATCAACTTTTTAGGGGGGGGCTTAGAAACTGTTCCATTTCACCTGATCAATTGCTGAAGACTTTCAGGTTGCCTGTGGTGCTGTTTGTTGCTGCAGCAGCAGTTCTATGCATGCTAAGACTAAAGAAAAATTTGTCCACTCTTTTATCTTGAATATGTAGATATGCTTATCAGTCAGGTATGCTGTTTGAGCACTATCATATACAAAGAGGCACTGTTTAGATTGGATGTTTCAGCTGGATGGATACAATCGGCTTCCTTCAGCACTTGGAACTAAATACTCCATGCAGGGAAACAGTCTCTCTTGTTAATTTTCTTGGTGTGGTCTACTTATTACAATGTGTGACATGCTCAAACATCTGCAGTGGCATGCATGTGTGAGCACACAAGAAGATGAGATTAGGACAGTCACGTTAGTTTGTGCAGGTTGCTCTTTTGTTTTTTTTTTTTCTTGGTTTTGTTGCACTAATCTATATATTGTGCTTAGGTAGGTGGAGATGGGTGTATCTTTGTTTGGCAAGTACCCAGTGCCTTTTCCTGCAAGATGCTGCAGGGAATAAAAGCAAACTCCGACCAGCTAAGTCCAAGAAGCTTGGTCCCACCAACAGCTTTTCATCGAATGATATATTGTGACAAGGAAGAAAACCAGCTTAGCATCAATTCGCAAGAGATGTGGTTCCATACTTCCAAACAAGTTAGAGGCACACTTGATCTTAGAGGTAGTCCTCAAGGGACCTCAACTTTTAGTTTTAGCATTTCAAGACTACCAAAATGGGCACAAGCCAAAGTATCGAGCTCCGGAAGTCCAAAGATTGCTCCATCTCAGGTAGCTTATGATCCAAAGTAATCTTTTATTCTAATTTGCAATGATAGAGATATGTCAGCCATCCTATTTGTCATGCCTGTCACAAAGTTTTTGTTGTTGTGTGAAAAGAATAAGTAGGAATTTTAGCCCATGCACTTTTAGCCGTTGCATGACGGCTAATTGTTGATGGTGAAGGAGAAAATTATAAAATTCATCATTCAACTCTTTGGTTACTTTTAGTCATGTTGTTTATTGCACTTCAAAAAAAAAATAAAACAATTTTTTTGTCTAAAAAGAACAAAGGGAAAAGCTACAATGATACTAAGCGATCATGACATGGCACTTCTTCTGTTTGATTGGTGGCTCGTTGCTTGAACTTTTCATCAACTTTTCCATGGATAACAGGGTGATCAAATAGAAGAGTAGATTTAGTTGACAAATTAAAAGTTGGGTACCTCGCGTAAAGTAGGAAAAAGATTTTATAAGAGAAGAAAAAGTAAATTGCTCGTGCAGGTATCCTTAGAAATACGAGTGCCAGAAAAACTTGTCTGCATACTCTCCTTATGAAGAATAAAGGCTGTTATTATTCCCCTAACCAAGTAGCCTCAATTTATTTATTTATTTTTAAAATCCACTAAGTGATGCTTCTCATATATGAACAAAAAATATCTTTCTTTTTGTTCTTGATTGTCAGGAGCCCAGTCTTGCATTCCAGGATATTAAAACTCCAAAGAAAAGTGACATTGGGGAGAGTTGGTCCTGTATCACAAATAAATCGGGAGGCACACATACTAGCAACTGCCAAAGCTCAGCATTATCACAAAAAAGCAACAGGTATTGGTTACCCATACTCTTCAACTATGTCTGTTCTTCTGTATTTGCTCATGCCCATGTGTTTCATTATGCTTTAGACTGGACAGGCGTTGGCACACTATTTATACTGTCTGCATGGACTTCAAAAATTCACCCGAAGCATGGAAGCAGAAAGATGAAACGATTCCAGTTCTTGCTTTCTGTAAGGCCAAATTTGTTGCTTGTCATTTCTTGAAGTGTTTTTTCCTGAACAATGAAATGTTGTAGCTCAGAGAACTTATTCAAAATCCTTGATGAAACCAAGTTTGTTCTGTTGCCTGAACAGTGTTAGACATATCAATGGCGTACTGATCAGCAGATAGCTGCCTGCAAATAATTATTAACATTATTTTATTGCCAACTATAACCTCCATTAAATAGGGCACACATTCACTTTCTATTGTGTCACTTTGAAGGTTTTACAGATTTCCTTAACATACAATGTTTCAACGTTAGGTGATGCAATGCTTATATACCTTCAAAATTGTTGGCATTGATGTCTCTCAAATTCTTGGTCGTGTCAAACTAGAGAAATAGAAATGGACTGTGGCTCCCATCCTCTTCAAGGAACTCACTGACCGGAAGTTGTAAATGTGCAGATTGCCTAATCAATTGTCTTGGCTGTAGTATTTTGGTTATCTATTGAGTAAAACTTTCATGGCTCATACATAATTCAGTCTTTCAATGGGTTGTTCACATTGAATGATATAGAGTTGGAGATTATATATCTGTCGACAACTTCCATCACTCATACATCATGTGTGGCTTTTCTGCATTGGCTACGCAGCTTCAAAGCAACTTAGTACTCGATTGCTATTTGCTACAAATTGCTACTCCATAAGAAACTTATTAACTGAGATCTTCCGCTAGCAGCAATACTGATCATATCCATCATATGTCCGTACATTTTTCAGTCCAGGACATCGGAAAGCAACCAACAAGTAGTAAACTTCTAGCAGGATCCTGTGCACCGATCTTTGAGGAGCATTCACTTCGGTGAGTTAATCTTGTCATTGACAAGAAAAACTAACTTGAATCTTCCAAAAGCAATTATTATTTGGAATGCAAAAGTTAAGTCTGATGAATTCGCATTGCATGAGATTACATTGGGCAGGGCATATTATGATGAGTCAGAGCAGTCATACGATGTGAAAGTTGAGAATGAGAAGCAGGAAGCTGCAAGTAGTTACACCTCCCAGAGTGAGAGTGACCACAATGAATCATGTCACAGGGAAGCTGCTGATCATGGTTCAGAGCAGCCATGTGCAGACAGAACGGTAAAAGAGTTGCAGGAGAAAGGCAACAATTTTAACTGCTGCGAGAAGTATGAAGACAATACGTTGTTTGACCAGCACTTTGCTAGCTTATCAGCAACTTCAAAGGTTACAACTACAACTCTACTCTCTTTTTGGGTGAAGAACTATATTGCTACTCTAGTGTTTGAGATATGGCTTTACTATTTTTTCTTTGAAAGACCATCCTGTAGTCTCTGCAATGCACTATCTCCACTCATGCCCCTATTCAGCAACTACTCTACCTCTTATGCCGGTTTATCTCTAGTGACACTAAAAGTTGTGAGAAGTGTATGTTCAGGGCTGTTCACAGTTCATTGTTTAATATATGGGGCTGTTATAGAGGCGAAAGAAGGTTGTGTTTGTTCATCTCACGAGCTTGCTCATAAACCTTGATCCTGGAGAACTTGGCCATTTTTTGGAAATTCTATTTTCTATTCTCTTCGCTCTCTGGCACAGACACAGCACAGCCTGTAATATTTTTTATGTCGGCTCCTGGAAAGCTATGTCATTTAGCTTAATCATATTCTATTAAGATTTGTTAAATTGTTGTGATCACAAAACAACTCAATCGAATCTCGAATATAAGGGTCCACTCCCACAAGGCACTGATGTTAAAATAATTTTATGTAACAATATAGATAGAAAAAAGGGAACCGTCAGCAAGGAGAAGATATTCTGCCCGGTATGTCATGCAGCGGAGGTATGTTGAAGATTGGAAGAGCTTTGATTCTCTATGTGAAGAATTAGACAATAAACACTCATACAGTGTCGTGGAAGAAGCTAACCTCGATAGCAATGACATATCGAAGTCAACTTGCAACATGATGAAGGAACTGACTATGGGAGAACCTTGTCATCAGGTGTGTTCATGTGATTTTTGACTTTCTATATGATAGCAACCTTGATTTTGGCTTTCTTATAATAAATCTTGACTTTTATTGACTTGAAATTAGAAGAAAGAATAAAATTGATGCAATCTTTGGCTGGCCACATAAAGCACAACAAATAAATTAAGAAAAACCACGAAAGATTAAGAAGGGCAAACATGATTTAAGTATTACAAAATACTTAACCATTTTAATTCACTGTTACATTATTTAGTTTTTTTTTTGGTAAAAATTATTTAGTTAATTATGCCCAAACATAGGCTTAAGTTAATCATGGTGAACTGAATTTGAAATCGGTTTTTTATAGGCATAAGCCTTTTTTTGTGGATTAACTTATATGGACTTGCATAATGCTGACCTATATTTGGTTTAGAATTAAGTCCCTCATTGGGAGACATGCAAAGAATCTCGGGTTATTGTAAAAACATTGGCAGGAGTTGGTGTACAAGGTTAGATAACTTGGTGAAACTTTACTCTGTAGGGCATGCAGTAGGGGTTAGTTCTGCTTTCTTTTGGACAAATGAATTTTCGGTTATCACTAAAAGACGTTGGATGTTCATTTCGTTAAAATTTCAGAATGACATCAAAGTACAACATTATTAATTTTATATACTTATGGCAATTGCAGGCAATGAAGAACACAGAGAATCTAATAATCTCATCTTCTTGCTTGCCTAGTGAACCAACAATAGTTGAGTCCACAGAGGAAAGAAAGCACAAGAAATCTCCTCATGATAAAAAAGGAGTGAAGGAAAAAATCAGTGAATGCAGCAAGGCATTACTAAACTTGGAGAGTGCCACGGACACTTTAACGCACTTAATTACTGATTTGATGTCAATGGCTTCTGAAGAAGAGCTTCTGAAGGGATCTGGAGCAGGGTTATACAACCAGGCTGCAGAATTGCTTCCAACGATTGCACAAAAAGTCGACACTCTTGCCAGATTATTGCGGTTGGGCAGCAACCATTCAATTGTCAGAAATTGAATGCAATACAAGGTACAAATGTCGTGCGTTTTATCAACTCATTAGGCTAATAGCTGATTCAGAAGCTCACACTTTCTTACCTACCTTGGGGAAGATATGCACAGTGTCTTGTAGAGAATGAACTATTTTCAACTCCTAGGTGGTATGTTGCATCCTGATCAATAGTGGCTGGCATGGAAGCTTCTTACTGATGCAAGCCTAATCACCCTTGAGATACTTAATAAGTTGATATGCAATTTCAATTGCATCTACAGCAGTCACTTTGGCTAAGAAGCGCACGAAGACCTAAAGTCAGGGCTCAATATCTCACCATTAGGTTTCTCTACCCCCCAAAGATACGTTCAGCACAATGGCTAGTTCAAGGCAAAGATCGGGGTCCGAGACCGATTCGATTATCACAAAGAGGGCCCACATCATGGAGATGGAGTTGAAGAAGATGAAAAATGAGATGACAGAAGTGCGGAATGGATCACTAGACAAAAAACGACCCGATGGCTGGAGTAGTGAAAAAAATAAATTTACGCATTTAGGAATTTGTAAATGTACAGAAAAAAGCAGTTACAGGTTAACAAAAGTAGGGAATTTTGAATCTTTTTCAGATCAGTACATTAACAAATGCCTTCATTGATTCTCTCACTTACTTTCCAGTTGATCGAGCTTTAGTGTATCTCATCTCTTGGGCATTATCATACCCAAGTCCTTTATGCCTGTTGCAAGAAGTAATCCGTCACATTACTTCACCATTCGTCTGAGTTCTGGTCCAAATTGGCACTCAAATTCCCTTTCCTGTACAGGCCTTGAAAAAGAAAATCCAATATGCTGTTGTCATTATACCTTGTAAATTGTAGTTCAACTCATGTAACTTGGTTCCTTTTGAGATTGTACCCTATTCGATCTTTTATACTTGCCATGCACCTTGTGCCATTGTTTCATTAGCTATGATATGCTGTTGTTGCATCGCCATATGATATTTTAATTACAGGACAGTGTCTAGCCTCCAGTTTAGTATATGACACAACTCCTTTTCCTTTTAGAACTGCATCAGAAGGGTCAGGACATATGATATGTTTTGTCCTAACTAAAAGAAAACCAATCCTTGCACAACCAGATCAGTTCATCTGCAGAAAGGATCTGTTCAACAAGTTGAGTTGGACCAGAACTCAGATGAATGGTGAAGTAATGCGACGGATTACTTCTTGTGACATGCGTGAAGGACTTGAGTATGATAATCCTTGCACACCCAGATCAGTTCCTGTGCAGAAAGGATCTGGTCAACAAGTCTCCTCTAGGACATTCGTTGGATTTTTTAAGGAAGAAAATTTGGCAATTTTCAATGCACTGACTGTTCTCCTGTTATGTGTAATCAAGTTTTGAACATTTTAATGACTCACTAACGCGATTCACGGTGGAATTCCGAGGCCTAAATCTCCAAAATGTTGCCCAGGCCCATGTCGTGGCCCGTTACTTCCGACCCTCTCCATTTGACAGCTACCCACTAATCCGAACTTTTGGAGCGACAAACGATGATCCTACTGCACTGAAATCAACAGCAAGATGGGCTCCATCTCTAGGAGAATTATCCCAAGAAAAAAGAGGGAGTGAGAAACTGGACTTCTTTTCCTTGTCTGAACACTCCTTCCGGTTCATGTTACCTATCCTGTCATAATTCATCTGTCTCTCCACTTTAACAACAAAAAGAGAAGGGGAAAAAAACATAAAGCAGGCAAAAAAGAGAGAGGAAGAAAAGCAAAAGACCATCTTTTCCTTTTCCCATCCCGTCAACTTTAGCCAAAAAAAGATAACCATTTCTGAATGATGATGATTTTCATGCAATGACTCCCAATTAAAAAAACAACACCGGCCTCCTCCTCCTCTCCCTTTTTTCCTTGAAAATATCAAAGGCATGTCATCTACGAAAGCTAATAAGAATAGCATTAATCAAACACAACCCTAATAAGCTAAGCACTTAGCAACGAGCATGCTCGGAGATCTTTGCCCTAACATTTTGTAAATCCCTAAGACGGTATGCCTGAGAATTGTAGCAGTGTGCTCTTTGTCTTGCTTTAGCAACATATGCCCAAACCCTAGAAATTCCCTTTTCTTGGGATTCCTTCACTCTATAATCATCAGGCTATGAAACCCATGAGAGGCAGAGCACCCATGATAAGTCCTGCCACATGTGAGCCTAATTGTCCCATGAGTGTCATTGTTTTTGGACGGTTTATGCCTCTCTAGAGAGGCAAATATAGGGACTAAGGCATTATTTGTACCTCCATCCAACCCTTACAAGTAAGTAATAAGTAGGTAGCTAATTTTTCCGGTATGAACTGCTAAACTAGCATTACATTTGCTAATTAAAACTTGTAAATCGTATACGCACGCATATTGTGCTTCAAGAAATAAGCCCGCCTTAAGTTGGACTTTCGGGCCGTTTATTTGCTTCCCCCATTCAATTGTAAGTTCCACATTTCAAGCATATGCAAAGCTTACCCACAAGTCACATGCCAGGGGTACTAATTCCCATCTACTAAATGAAGCTTTCAAGCTTTTTGGATGGACTTGTCCACACACGACTGATCTGGAGTCTGAAATTGGAATGATCTTTGCAAGGCTGAACTGAACTAATTACATAACCACACTATTCTTGATTTCTTGGGAAATATATATAATGAAAAAAGGAAGCCACTGATTTATACATATCGTGTGGTGGTGGGGTAAAAAGAGGACTCAATTATATTTGTGCTTTTGCATTCATTTCTCCTTACCTAATGATGGCTTTGCTTTTCTGCTTTTATTTAAAGTCCAGACAAGCATTTTCACAAGGGCTCTCTCTCTCTCTCTCTCTCTCTCTCTCTCTCTCTCTCTCTCTCTCTCTCTAAACCCAAATAATGAAGGAAAAGACAATTTGGTAGATTACACCAGCTTCATTAGACTAGAGAGAGAGAGAGAGAGAGAGAGAGAGAGAGGGAGAGAGCTTAGGGCTTGGGAGGTCTTCATATGTTGCTGCTAGGGTTTTGTGGAGTTATGGGGGAGATAATTATGAAAACGGGAGGGTCATAAGGACAACATTATTGTCGGATATAATGGCTACGGCGAAATTTGTGGAATCTATCGAGGGTTGCGCATGTTCTATCCCTTAGCATTATTTGATGGGCACTGAGAGCTGCTTTGTTCTTCTGTTCCCTCGAGCAAATGTTAATCTCCACGTTCATTCCTCGTAATCTAATGATAAAAGTATGATCTTTGAATGGCCCCCAAAAGATGCTCTCTCTTGCCCACTTCGTTCCTTTTCTTCCTCTCTTTTTTTTTCAAGTTTCATTTTCTTTTTTCGTGGGTCTGAAGATGTGAGGACTTTGGATGCCTGGGATTGATTATAATCACATGTTTTTTTTTTCTGGTTTTTCCACTCAATACAGGCATTTCGTTTAAAAAGTAAATAATGCATAAACTGATTCGACATACTTTTATGAGGCGGTTGAACATAATTCACTTGATTATAAAAAAAAACTCCAACGGGGTGCATTACTACTATCGAGACCCGAAACAAGTGGAGAGATGATCACTAGGATAAGCTGAGAGACAATTAATTGTATTCGCCCTAAATTGCCAGCTGCAACAACGACATTTCCAAACTGAAAGCAATAATTAGAGAGTAGATGTAATTATAATCCAGCAAATGATGGGGGCAAGACAGATATTCTCACATTTAGCTCATAGAACAAGAAGCACTTAAGACACCAGTCGAATCTCCACTCGTTTCTAGTAAATTAAATACAAGAGAAATTACATAATTTGACCATATCACATGGATATTCAACCACATGTATAAAGATCGAGGAAACTCAAGTATTTAATCAATATTTTGCAATCGAGAGAGAGAGAGAGAGAGAGAGAGAGAGATTCTTTATTTCTTTTATTTATGGGTTTATTAAATGCTGAGAGACTGGGATTGTTGATTGAGAAGATGACAAAAGATTATAAAGCAGAAAAAGCTCATTCTCACTGCATAAAGCTCATCTCAGAGAGAGGACAACAAAACTTGGCACACTGACTTCCGAATCTTCAGTTCCTCAGAAAAGAACACACGATAAACCCAAAAGAATACAAAACCCCTCCTAATCTTTTTCCCTTTGCAACCCTCATCTGCACTAGTGACTTGCGTGATCTCTTTCCCTTTTACATATTTCTAGGTTCATTCGAATAATTAAATACAATAAAAGCCACAACCCCCAACACCGCCTGCTTGTGTTTTTTATGCAAGAGCCCCCCCTTGCTTTGTTTGGTGTGATGGGAATCCCAAGCATGTATATTAGGCCTTAGGAATCATTCTTTATCTTTAAGTTCTGGTCTAAAGACAAAGAGCTATTAGTGCAAATTCTAAATTATAACACTTGATCTGGGCACTTTCCATCTATTTTCTTTCTTTATTTTTCGAATCATAATGGATCTTTTTATCTTTATGGTCGTAAACCAAGCCTCTTAAGTCGCAAAATATTTGTGGCGGGACCTTTTGGAACGTGATATGCAAATGTTACCCGATCAAAACTTCCAACCTCGATGGACTACTCATCATCGTGTCTGCCTATATCCCCCTTAATATCTTCACCTAGCATCTGCATAACATTCGTGTACAGGAATTATTCAACCTTCCCCTCCCGTATAACAATACATTATAAGCGCAATGACATAAGAAGATTCAGGTAAATTGACCCCACTTGATCGGATAAGACAGGATTTATTTTTGTTGTTGTTGGACTTCCTTTTCCAATTGACGTGACCAGCAATTGCGGGGCCCCTCGCATGCATTTTCATGCTCAAATCCTGATTTAAAATCCATGGAGGAATTGCTGGTACCTGTTGGAATATGTCCAGACCATCAATATGTCCTGATTCCTGTTGAATCCTTTTGATGGGTGCTGGACAGCCAGAAAGTGTTCCAATCTGATGTAAATCGCTTTGATGGAACAATCTACACATAAAAGCATTCACCCATAATTCCTTTGGGAGTGCACATATTTCATATTGAAGTATAGACATTCTTTGATTGCGACGAGAATGTCTACTATGCAATACATTTACTCTCCCCGTCAATATTCCGTCAGTTGATATTCCACCAAAATAACGTCATTCTATTCTCACTTAAGCCACGTGAGCACCATGTCAATGCCGTTTACTTCCGGGCGTCTACATATGCAGACGAAGGGTAAATGTGTCACACGAGTAGAAGTTTGGAATTTATTGGGTAATTTAGAATAAATATGTCATAATAAACAAAATTTAGAAATTTTGGTTGCTTTTTCTCGTATGAAAAGGAAAAAAAAGAAAGTGATGAAGACAGACGGGGGCCGAACCACGTCACACCAAACTGTCTTTTGTCCCCAAATCTATTTTTCCCCCCACTAACACCAATCGACGACAAAGGACTTGCCCTATTTGGATGTGGAATTTGTCTGATCCACTAAACAAACCAACCCCCTACAAAAGACAAAACTATTCTCCAATTCTTTTCTCTCCTAATTATCTATTCAATTTATTTATTTATTTACCAATATTCATATGCTTATTTTGCTTCTCCTTTCCCTTTTGTTCTCATATTATGATTCTCAATTAATTATTATCAGAGTAAGTAAAGAGTC